AGTTGCTAGCATATATTCCTTGCCAGTCCAGACGGACAACAGGTCGCTCGCTGCGTACATCAACCATCAAGGTGGTCTATGCTCCCATCACATGCTGCAACTCACCCGCCATCTCCTCCTCTGGAGTCAGAAGTGACTAAGGTCGCTTCGTGCCAGCCACATCCCGGACGAGCTGAATCGTGCAGCTGATGCACTCTCAAGACACGTCACATTCTCAGGAGAGTGGAGACTCTTTGGAGCCACATAGGTAGACCTGTTTGCCTCTCCTGACACATCCCACTGCCAGTTGTTTTACTCCCTGACCGAGGGGACTCTCTGCACGGATGCACTGGCACACAGCTGGTCCCAGGGCCTACGCAAATATGCGTTTCCCCCAGTGAGTCTGCTCACACAGACACTTTGCAAGGTCAGGGAGGACGAGGAGATGATCTTGTCGGTTGCGCCTTACTGGCCTACCCGGACCTGTTTCCCAGAACTGATGCTCCTCACGACAGCCCCTCCATGGCAGATTCCCCTAAGGAAGGCCCTGCTTTTTCATGAACGGGGCACCAGATGGCACCCGCAACCAGACCTCTGGAACCTCCATGTGTGGTCTCTGGATGGGACGCGGAAGACTTAAGTGGCCTACCCCCACCGGTAGTTGACATGATCCCTTCAGCTAGAGCCCCCTCTACAAGGCATGTTTAATGCATTGAAGTGGAATCTGTTCGTTGATTGGTGTCCTTCTCACAGAGAAGACCCCTGTAAATGCCTGATCAGAGTCGTCCTTTCCTTCCTGCAAGAAGGGCTGGAGTGAAGGCTGTCTCCCTCCACCCTAAAAGTGTATGCCGAACATCCCGATGTAGTAGAAGGTAAGTCTGTGGGAAAGCATGACCTGGTCATCAGGTTCCTCCTCGCCTTCGCCTCATCCCCACTTGGGACCTCTCTCTTGTCTTTACAGAGAGCTTCCTTTGAGCCTTTGATTATGTGTATTCTTTCACAGTACGGCTTCCCTTTCGGTGAGCCGTGTCTTTCCCTTGGCAGAGCCCACTCTGCCGTCTCTGCTTGTTATTGACTCCACCCTATTAGGCAGGATCTACCACAGAGCTGAGCGACATGGCACTGGCTCAGCTCTTCAGTGAATACTTAATAAGTGAGTCCCGCACACTTCCTTATGTACCCACAGCGCATGGTTCGCGATGCAAATCTCACTCGCCAATGTCCATTGGCTTGTTCTGTTACCACTTGAAGGTGATTGGGCTCTCAGGCGAGATCCCAATATGTCAGCCACTGATGTAACATCTCCATTCCCTCCTTCAGGGAACGCGGGGTTACATTAATATAAACATTTCATGTCTCTCATATCATTCCGCACTCCCCCTTTTCCACATAATAATTCATTTAGAAAAATCAGGGTTATGAACATATATATGTTTTTATGTGCTGAGTAATGTTATTAATCCCATTAATTAAACCTTTGCATTTAATAGATAGAAGGTTTTCTACCAGTTCACCCAGTCTCATTTGTGCTGATAATATCTCGGGTGACATTTTGTCTGATATCCAAAGGCCAATCTTTGTTCTCTCAACTCATCTATCATTCTTACTTAGTTCTCACTCCACTGTTCTAATTTAATGTTCTTCTCCCCCAACTTTAAACTTCTGATAAGGTACTGAGATTTGCACCGATGCATAATTCATGTCTCCCTCTGTCCTTCTTAACGTTCTGTCAGTCTTTTCATCATATTGTTGAAATGAGTCTTCCAATTTTAGGGAGATGTTCTCATGCATTCAACAGCACCGGAAGGTTTTCTAGACATCAGACCGAATTATATCATTTGCTGTTGATTCATCATTGACAAAAGGCATCTTAAGCTGTATAAAGAAAGGGTTAAATTGATGATTCTACTATATTTCATTTCCTTTGGATGGAAAATCTTGGTGATTTGAAAAGCAGCTCTTCAAAACGAGAACTATTTCCATACAAGTGTAGCTGTCTCAGTCTGTGTGTGTGTGTGTGTGTGTGTGTGTGCGTGCGTGCGTGCGTGTGTGTGTGTGTGTGTGTGTGTGTGTGTGTGTGCGTGCGTGCGTGTGTGTGTGTGTCTGTATGTACCAGCAGCTTGTCTGTGGCTCACTCATGTTTCAAACTTATCAATTGTAACCAGTTTCCATGGCAACATCTCTCAAGAGTTGAAGAGAGATGGAGAGAAAGAGCAGAAAGAGAGACAGACTTTGGCAATGGAGCGCATGTGATTACATGCGTGTATTCTGCATGCGCTGCAGATAAACAGCACTCTGGTGCTCTGTGATAAAACTGCATGTTTAAAAAAACAGCAATTTGGGGTTTCTCTTCCTGACATTATTATGTTATTAATTTATCTATACTCTGTTCCATTTCCCTGCTCCATTTTCATATCAAATTGCTTTTCAAAGCTTTGGCAAATGTTTCAACTGTGTGGCCATGCACAGAAAACCTATTTTGGACAGGCTTTTTGGTTTTGATTTTCAGCGAGAGAGAGAGAGAGAGAGAGAGGGAGAGAGAGAGAGAACCTAACATAAAATGCATTTCATTCCTTTTGTGTCTCCATGGCAACCAAACTGTGTTAGCCTCTTATTGACTCCAATGCACTCGCACTTTCTCTGCGTCTCTCCCTTTTATTATCACTCTTTCACATTCCCATTTGCTAGAGACTTGCAAAAAACTTTATCTCTTGGCCTTCATCATTTTCCTTGATCTTTTTTCTCTTATCACAGTTTTATTCCTTTCAATTTATTGTTTTTTTCTTCTTTTTTTATTGTTGAATTCAATTTCCTCCTTTTGCAGACCATCTTATTTTTCATTAAAAAAAACCCTCTCAATTCTCATTTCCCTCCCATTTAAAAGATTTCAACGTGTGAATTTAAAGACAATTTTAGGGCTGATTCAGTACCAGTGAAAATATTGATCAGATCAGATAAGTGAAGATGTTCTGGATTAGTGATGATGACAAGATGAAATGGTTGTTTAATTTACATGTTTAAATTGGCTGCTTTTGTTTGCAAAGCCTGGATGAGACGGCAGACTTGTTTATTCAAATAAGTTCATGTATGTTATCTGACAACTTGTATTTTCTTGGTTGTATTGGTGGTGTCTTACAAGCCCATTAGGGCTGGGCATACAGTAGTATGCAAGACACAATAATAAAAACTATTCATTCATTCATTAATTCATTCATTTACACTACTGTTCAAACATTTGGAATTGTTTAGATTTTATTTTTATGTTTTTGAAAGTCCCTAATGCTCACCAAGGCTGCAATATTGTGAAATATTATTACAATTTAAAATATCTATTTTCTATTTTAATATATTTTTGAATATAATTTATTCCTATGATGGCAAATAATAATAAAAAAAAAATCAGCATCATTAGTCCAGTCTTCAGTGTCACATGATCCTTCAGAAATCATATGCTGATTTGATGCTCAAGAAACATCTCTCATTATTATCAGTGTTGATGAATCGAAAGTTTAATGCATCCTAGCTTTTTTTTGCTGACCCCAAACTTTTGAACGGCAGTGTATATTTACTTCCCACCCAAGATGCAAATCAACAACACTTTTTTTTTTTCGTCGGAAACCTTGTTTTATTAGAACATCTGGAATTGCTTTTGTAGTATATAATATATCCGGTAGTATTCAATTGAATACAGACCGTAAAGTTACCAAAGGTGCTGTAGCGTACATTAATGAATCATGTATAAAAGACATTATCATGCAGGTATTCTTAAATGTAGATACTGCATGTGAACTATATTAATCACACAAAAAACATTCAGTGATGACGTCTATAATGAAGACCCTAGTCATTTGTCTCTCGGCCCACATTCCTGTGCTAATAGCGATTGTCTAGGGTATATTTTCACATTTTTGAGGGTACATGGTACATCAAGTCAAAGCCAAGATGGAAAGAGGACCCAGGAGTTTGAACCAGATAGGCAATGTTTCTAAAAAGCACTAAGACTGTGTCGTCATTAAATTCCTCGCTTATTGTACTGAAATTTGAAGTGTGTGAGTGTGTATGTGTAATAATGAAGCCATTCTATCTAGTGCAGTGGCTCAGGAGTGATACGCTCGGCCACTCTATTCATCTACAAAGCCAGAATTACACACAGCTTAGTTAAATAATCATTATTCTACTTGTTTAGCAGACTGATGGACACAGCACAACACTGGAACTCCAGGTGAGGCGAATTGAGAGGCCCTATAATACACAGAACAAAGTGGCGTTAAATGTTGTGTATAGTCTAACAACACAGAAGATTGCCTGAAAAGTTTGTATTCATCATCATCGTGGTCATGACAACACCATCAGTCTGTTGTCGAAAGCATCATGAGCGAACGTTACCGACACCAGTGTCTCCATCATCTGCATCACGGCCTGCTGTTCGTCTGTCTCAAGCACATCAGCCCACTCGACGCAAATGAGTCTTCCTCTGTTGTTTGCTACAGTTCATCTGTTGGCATTCCAAAAGTGCTTTTATGATTTGTCACAGTCTATCGAGTATTTGAACTCCGGCAGAGGTTGCGGTCAGATCTCTCTTCCCTCCGGTACGGCCCGTCCCGCATGCCCGTCTCAATTAAGAGTCTGCCGTTCTGCTCGACCGCTCGTCCTCACCGCAGCCCATGATGAATGAACCCAAAACATCGGGTGTCAGTCCTAAGATGTGATGCTGCTCAAACAGTTTCTCCGGCTTGTAATATTTATCTCATTGGTTGATTTGCTTTGAAATGTTTGTGTAAACTTCACCATCTGATTTTTCGTAAAAAATACTTCTTGTGCGGTTTAAGGACACTAATAGAACTACCCTGCAACAACTGAGCCATATATTAATAATTTAATCAATTATTATATTCTACCTCTACATACAGGGTTCATTTATAGGTATCTACCACAAATACTGAAATAGCAAATACTTAGCAGTTATGAAATACTTTGACATAACAAGTTTTTCCACAAAAAAATGCGGTTGTTATCTGAAGAAAAAGTCCACGGTCTATTGATTTAAAAGTCAAGGTAACACATTCTGTAATGATCTTGGTAGCACATTATGTGTCTCTTTGTAGACATTAAGAACCGATCAGTTGTTGCTATGAGCAGCGGAAATTTTCAGCAGCCCTTGAGAAATTAAATGGTGTTACAAAACATCTACACTGCCTGAGTCTTTTGTTCACCAGATATCTCTCTCTCTATTGCACTCGTTTTTTCTTCTTCTTTTTAATGGCAGTAATTGAGGCAGCTTTACATTGACGGCTTTAAATGCCTCCTTGTCTTGAGCTTTTTCTACATCTGTCCATCGTCCATCCCCACCCAGGAGATCTGAGGAGGAGCTGAACAAGGTATGTGGATGAGGAAGAGGTGAGCACGACACAGTCGGTCTTTGCTTTGTCGTTTCTCTCCTTCCTTTCATAGTCCTCTTTCCTTCATTTGATCACTTAGAAGCTGACCAAAGCATACACCATACTACAAAAGAGACACAGAGAGAAATTAAGAGATATTTAATAATAAAAAACTTTAATCAAGCACTTTGAATTAAGCAAGACATTCACAAACACTTGTTAGTGATATCTCAAATATGTATATCCCTTACAAAGAATACAGTATGTAGAGAATGATTTCAAAATGATTTATTCCCCAAATTATTTAATCAGATATGTATATGTATATACACCACTGTTCAAAAGTTTGGGGTTAGTAAGATTTTTTAATGTTTTTGAACAAAGTTTCTTAAGCTCACCAAGTCTGCATTTATTTGATCAAAATACATTAAAAACAATAATATTATGAAATATTATTAAGATTTCAAATAACTGTCTATTTTAATTTAGTTTATTCTAATGAGGACAAAGCAGAATTTTCAGCACCATTACTCCAGTCTTCAGTGTCATAAGATCCTTCAGAAATCATTCTAATATGCTGATTTGATGCTGAAGAAACATTTCTTATTATTATCAATGTTGAAAATACTTGTGGAAACTGATACATTTTTTATGATTCTTTGATGAAGAAAATTCTGAATTCATTTATTTGAAGTAGAAATGTTTTGTAACATTAAATGTCTTAATATTGCCGATTCGATTCTTTATTAATCCCCTTGAGGGGAAACTCATTTGCCACCATGGGATCTCCCAGTCACGTGACCCCTTGCTGCGTGTCAGCCATTTTGACGGAATACATCCGTCGGCTACTCATAGATCCATAGAGCTGGTAAGTCCCGCCCCTTCCGCTTACCCCGCTGGACCTCTAGGTTGAAAAATCGTCAATGCAAGTGAATGAGAGAAAATAATTATTTTCTAATCCCGTTTGAATTTTGCAATGAATGTGAACATATGTTGTCTGTGAATTTTTTATATAAATTTTCGTGTAAAGAATGCTACAATTTAGCGGGTAGAATTTTGATACGGTTAGACTTTGTGTGAGAGCACTTAGTTTGTGGACTACAACTCTTCGCTGCTTTCGACGCGTTTGATATACGTCACCACCACTAGCACACGGATCCCGCTAAACATGCCTTTGTTTGAATGGTGACATTTGGGTACAAAACACACAGGCATCTTGATCTAATTCCTTAGATTATCGCACGGTGATTTGTGGAGGGAAAATGTGTTATGCGGTGACGTCACATATGCGACGTGTAGTCTTTCTCGTTATGTCTATTCCACAACTGCTAGCCAAAGAATCATACAATATACTGTCAAACTCGTTACATGAGAAATTACACAGACAACATATGTTCACATTCATGGCACAATTCAAACGGGATCAGAAAATAATTATTTATTTTTAATAAATATAATTATTAGTATAATTAGCCTAATTATTGCAATACTTTGCGCTACAGTATTGATATAATTGCATGCGCAAAAATCATGGTGAAAAATATCTCGATACTGAACTGAACAGAATCGATTTTTCCCCCACCATGTCATGTCATCACACTTATTATTAGCATCACAAAAATAAATATACAAGAGGAAGATAAAGGAATAGAAATTATATATCCATATGAAGCACCACAAGTTCTTTTTACAGGCATTAAATGTGTAGAAAAACTTCCTGACATTGTTCGGTGACATTACAGCTACCTTATTCACTTTCCCATCACGCTACACCGGAGTTTCATTAAAAGAAAATGATTTTTCAATCATCACCGCAAAGGTTGGTCAATGTATTTTATCACCAAATTATAGTACCTGTAATAATTTTTAAACTGAGTTTACAGGGAAAAACACAAAACAAAATCACCAACAAGATCAAGTGTATCTTTAATGAATTTGTTTAATCTAGTTTGATCCAAGAAAAACGAAATAATAGCCTATGCTTATAAGTTATATACTTTTTTATACTTATCACTGACTGTCACTGTAGTATGATAAACTGTCATTGAGACTGTTGAATCAACCTGTGTTTCTAACGATTTATAAGAAGTGTCAAATAAAATACAAGATCAGCTTTTGGTATTTGAAAACGAAAGACTGTAATGTGATAATACGCCTAACGAATTAACTGATCTAGGAATGCATGTATGCGTTTTGCCTGTTTATTGCCGCCAACCACTTTTCTCCGTTTTGTTTCTTTTGGGATACGGTATAAAGATATTCCTTTTGTATGATCACGTATCTGATCGCATCCAAATGCACAGCATCGCTCGGGCATGATAGGAATATTTCGCGACGAGCTGTATTAACACCGGCGGTTTAGCATTTTCTATTCCGTCAAGATGGCTGCTCCAAATGGCGTGACGTCACGTCTCTATACACATCACAACCAACACAAACAATTAAACATTACAGCACAGTCAATCTATACAATACTTAATAGAAAACCTCACTGCAGCAGGGATAAAAGAGCTTCTAAATCTCACAGTAGAACACTGAGGCATCACTAATCTCTCAATAAATGAACTTTTAAGTACACTAAAAATACTATAGTGGATGACCTTCATAAGTCAAAATCATTTTTGCCCTTGTTCTCTTTTCCACCATGGCCTCAAGTGAATCTGGAGTGAAACCAATAACCGAACCAGCCTTCCTAATCATTTTAATAATCCTATTTTTGTCATCCACAGTAATACTACCTCCCCAACAATGCACTGCATAAAACAACACACTGGCCAGGATTCCCTGATAGAAGTAATAAAAAAGCTTCCCACTAATACCAAAAGAACTTAGCTATCTTAAAAAGAATAATCAATCTTGATTTTGCCGCCTTGAACACAACCTCACTGTTCTTCTTCCAGTTTAATGGACACCAAGATATTTATAAGACTTTAATTTAATGCATGCTTGGTGAAAAATCTTACTGACCCAAAATTTTTGAACAGTTGATGTATAGGTATGTAAATTATTTTATTTATGTTATCCAGATAATAGCCATGATTCTATATGTAATGGTTCTGTTCTGTTTATGTTTGGGTGTCTGTGTCTTCATTTAGCCTGTGTATCTATGGGGCTGTTTACATGACACCATTTTCAACTAAAAACGGAAGACTTTTTATGTGTTTTGGCCGTTCATTTGCACGACAACAGCGTTTTGTTGGCCTGACAAATGCTAACTTTTGAAAACGGGTTCCAAAGTGCACGTTTTTGAAACCGAACATCAAAAGTGTTATAAGAATTACACAAACAAACACAATATAACATTTTGTCATCATGAAAAATCCTTTGTGTTCAAAGGTTTTGACATTTTCTTAGAGGAAGTAAAAAGGGACTTTATATCAGAAGAGATGATTTTAAAATTTGGATTACAGTAAATGGTTCTGGCTTTGTGAAGATGAAATTTACCCAGAAGACAAAGTAATAATACAGTTTTATCATGATTAACATCCTTAGAATGAAAATCGGACATACAAATGATAGATTATGTAATTTGTGTAGGCATGTGCGTTCGGCTCGACTGCACTGTAGTAAAATAATGCGTATGTGTGTAGGGCAGGCGCGTAAGTGACATCGCCAACTACTTGTCTGGCATGCATAATGCAGCGTTATTAGTCAGTTTCACAGGTCCGTGTGAACGGGGATCGTTTTGATGACGTTGTCATCTGTACAAAGAAAAAACGTTTTTATCACACCGTAGTTGTGTAAACGTACCCTTAGATCTCAGTTTGTTTCAGTTGTTTGTCCTGTATTGTCTTTGCTACGTGCTTAGCGGTTTCAGCCTCTCTGTATTTTGGAATCTGCGTTTAGTTAGTTTAATAAAAGTTTAAGGCCTGGTTTCACAGACAGCGCTTTGATTAAGCCAGTATTAGACTTTAGTTCAATTAGGACATTTAAGTAGCTTTTATAAAAAAATGCCTTAGAAAAAAAAACATTACTGGTGTGCATCTTGAGACAAAACAGTGGCACTGACATATTTGAAGATATGTCAGTGCAAGTTGCTGTCAGTTAAAACAGATCAAACATGCATTTTAGTCTGGGACTAGACTCAAGCCTTGAAACCAGGGGTAAGAGTGCTGGAAATGGATTCTCCTCTCACACATAATTTTCCTTGGGTCACTAGGGATCACTAGGGTGTTATTGAGCAATTTCTAAGGTGTTTTGAGTGATTATTATTTGGTAGGGTATTCTAGGTGTTTATTACTAGGGTGTTCTGGGTGGTTCTGTAGTGGTACAATCCAATTCTATGATATTCTGTTCTGTAGACACTGCTTGGTTTTCTTCTTAAGTGTTTTTTTTTTTACCCTTTTTATTATCAAGCGAATATTATAAGTCTTAGAAAAACTTAGACTCTTAGAAAACATACCTTTTCACAAAAACTCACATGATTTTGAGGGATCATTCATTTCAAATTATGTCATGTGAAGTACAAATTGAGATACATAACCCTACGTATGAGCCCTAATAATAGCAATGCAGTTAATTACATTTACATTTACATTGATTCATTTAGCTGACGCTTTTATCCAAAGCGACTTACAATTGCTATATATGTCAGAGGTCGCACGCCTCTGGAGCAACTAGGGGTTAAGTGTCTTGCTCAGGGACACATTGGTGTCTCACAGTGGATTCGAACCCGGGTCTCTCACACCAAAGGCATGTGTCTTATCCACTGCGCCATCACCACCCCTTATGTTTGGTTAATAAAATCCAAACATAAAATCATATTTAAATGGGTAGAAGGTGAATAAATGAGGAGGGTTTACCTGTACAGATAGTAGAAAAAGGAGAGAAGGTAGAAGCCTAGTTTGCACCAGGACTCTTTTTGGCAATAATTCAGAATGTCCGCATTCATCACACTCACTGGATCATACATAACTTCAGACCCATCTGCAGGACGGTGGAAAAACCTGAGGGAGAAAATGAGAGAGGGAATTACTACAGGGGAACCATTTTGGAATTTCAGTTAATTGAGGAACAGTTTGTACCTCCAGAGGTGATAGAGCAGCAAGGGGATGTTAAGGCCCAGAGTTACCCATTCCCCTGCACACATGAACATCAGACAGAACAGCCCGTGGATGGAATACTCTGGTACCACCAGCTGGAAGACAGAGGATAGTTTCAAGTACTAGTAATAACTGTAAGCAAAAATATATATTCATCATAACTGTCACACGTTCAGTTCTGATTCTTTATGTGCATGCAAAAAAAGTGACATAAAGTAACATACAAGTGGGCCCTCCAAGTACCATTGGAGTAGAAAAAAGAAAAGAGGTAGAATATACTCTAGGCTCTGAAGATACTCTAGGTGGGGGTCTATGAGAAGGGATTTAAAACTGCATTTTCATGGCATTTCTAACTATTAAAAGTACTGTTCAAAAGTGTGGTGTTGGTAAGATTTTTTTTTATCTTTTTTGAAAGAAGTCTCTTATGCTCACCAAGACTGCATTGGTTTGACCAAAAATACATTCAAAAGTAATACTGTGAATTTAAATATTTTAAAAAAAATTAAATATATTTTCAAATGTAATTTATTCCTGTGATGACAAAGATGAATTTTCAGCATCATTCCTCCAGTCTTCAGTGTCACATGATCCTTCAGAAATCATTCTAATATGCCGATATTGAATAGAAACATTTATTATTATCAATATTCAAAACAGTAGCTTAAGATTTTTGTGAAAATTGTGATGTATTTTTCAAGTTCAAAAGCACAGTATTTATTTGAAATCTTTTGTAATATAATCAATCTCTTTACTGTCACTTTTTTTTTAAAGAAGTAAAAATGAATGAAATTGCATCAGTAGCCTACTATATTAATTATTGGACGATATTAAAGATTTTATCATTTATCATTACCAACCAGTATTGGATATTTAATTGTTCATGCTGTTATTTAAGCGATGTCAAGCGTTTTTTAGGCCAAAACATTTTTTGTCACATGCAGCAAACATCTCCTCACTATCCGCTAGCTGCCTGTCCCCTGAACACACTGTAAAAAAACACGGTCTCTGCAGACACCCCAGGCTCCACAAACGGTAACAAAAACAAACTCCGGCAACACGCTCCACGAAACATAACAAACTGTTCCAGCCAATGACCGACAAGAAGGACTTGGGGGTGGGGTTTGGGGGGTTAGTGCGCGGATGAGGAGGAGGGAGGGTCTAGCTAGCCTCCGTTTTGTTTGACAATACTTAAAACGTCAACAAGAAGTGACGTCACCCGACATCGCTTAGAGCACCTTTAATAGCACTTATCATTTAATAACACGGTAAATGTATTCTTTATAAAATCTCAAAATGAATATCCATTTGTCATACTGTATATTTTATAATATTATGATGCCTAAATCCACTTGTAGCATTTAAAAACAACTGATTTTATATTTATTTATTTAGCCAAAACGGTCAGCTTACGCAAGGGTATCAGCCAGAATTGTCATATCAATGCATCCCTTCTACGAAGTTTGAAAATAGCTGTTTTAAGGGCTTCTCTTTCATGTCCTCCCCACCTTACATTTGTTTACACTTAAATGGATCTTCCACAATTTTACTCACCCTTCGGAGGAGGTTGCAGATTCTCTCGATGTTCAATATTCTTTCCCTCTGAGGAAATACAGAAGAACGCAATAAGATTTCTATCAGCATGCTCCAACTGTTTTGTAACTGTGCAGCATGGATGCATGTTGCTGCGTGTGTTCACATATATGCATGTATACCAGAGAGTTTCTCTGAAACCCACAGTTCACAGTTGGGATGCTGAGTAGTTGATGCTGTGTGAAAGGAATCGTGATCTAAGAAAAGCCTTACCGCTCTTGTGGGGTTGCTCTGATCGATGGGGTTTTTGAAGTCTGTGCGCAGCTCATCAAACGCAATAATCTTGAGAAGAGACAACAGAATTGGTGTTACATGAGCATTTCAACACAACCACTGGACATTTTGGAGGTTAGAAGAGAGAATGTAGGAGAATCTGTGTCCCTTTTTATCTTTAACTTTCCACATTTCTCAAGCCATTCCTACAGCTTCATGCTATGCTCTCCCCTCCTTCTTTTCCCCCTTATAGATCCATATCTCCTGCCATCCCCTCACTTCGTTCTCTGTAAACAGATGCAGTTGCCATGGTGACCGAATGAGCCCCTAAGCGGGCGTCATGGTTACTATAGAAGTGAGTTCACATTCTTATTGGCTGAGAGCCATACAAAGATGGGGGAGAAGGAGAGGAAAGGAGGATGGGGTGTCAGAACGAAATTATGGTTTGATAAGCATTCTCAATAACATCATGGTTTCTCGCCGTCATGCACTCAGACTCTCAGCCTCCCCCACTCTCTGTCTCCTTCTCTCACATACATTTACACACACACTCACACCAAATGACTCATGTTTAGAATCTCTCCCACTCCTGTCATTAGTCAATTCTCAGTCATTTCAAGTTTGCTTCTTAATGGCCCTTTGAACGTCTTACACGTAAGGTCTGCAGTCTAATGCCAATCTGAAAATATCCTTGGCTTCTCGTTTGGCATTCAGGGCTTGCGTTTTAGGTGTTGAAACCTCTGCTCCAGTAGATCTCTGGTGTTTTAGTGTTTCAGACAGATTTTAACAGTTCAGGGCCATTGTGTTTGTCTGCTGTTGCCTTTGTGAGAATGTCGCATCTAATATGAAGAATACAAATGATGTTGAGGTCTCTGGTGGCGACTGTGCAAATTTCATTTGTGATTCTACAGACAGTGGGCTGGCACAGAACAACCAGTAGAGTTCAAATGGGCTGTTGACCTCTTCCTCTTCAGCGCTCTCTCTGTGTGTTTATATGAGGCAGCGGTGAATCTCACTAAAACATGTCTAAGTTACATTACACCCCAATATCAAAAGAATAAGAAATTACATTTTGGTTAAAATGGTCACCTATTTTGAAAATTAAAATAACTTAATTTTTTTTATTATTTTTGAACCCACAACCCAACAGTGGATAAGCACTTTGGAGAATGTATTTTTTTAAATATATATTTTAAATATACATTATTTTAGATTTCTTTATATAATATATCAATATTATTGTAACATATCATGACATTTTCCCCTAAAATAACATTGCCGTAAAGCATCCAGACGTTGCTATTATTTTGTAATTCCCATAATAATAATAATAATAATCATAATATATAATTATTTTGTAATTACCCTGTAGGGTATTTGCACATCTATCATGTGTGTGTGTGTGTGTGTGTGTGTGTGTGCGTATGCAGATATTTATTTATATATTTTTATTTTATTTTTACTTTATACAGTATGGAGAATTAGGGGGATAACTCATAATCCTAAAAGTACATTGCAATTTCTTTAGGCAAAATATAATTTCTTGTTTATTTCTTTAGATTTTTCAGATGAAAAAAGATCCATATACGCACAGGTAGACTCCCACCTTCCTCAGTTTTTTTTTTCTTTTGTATCCGTCTACTTGTTCTGTAAATCATTAATCATCCATGACTCAGAATGTCTGCTCTAATAATAACTGCCGCGATTTGTATTCACCTCATGGATAAGGCCTCTTGTTAAGGGCAGGGGAAACAGCTTGGACAGACACACACCCGTCTCTGCGCTCAAAAAACTGGCACGGAGACACATATTCACACTCACGCATTCAGAGACATGCCGATGACATGGATTCCGATGCCAATTGGAATGGAAGTGTCACAGTGTTACAGGTAAAAGGAACTCGTACACATTCACATGGTAAGATGTAAAACTACAGACGGCTCGAAGCGTACCTGCCAGATGACGAAGAAGATGAGGGCAGCGCATAACACGAGTGTTAACATGTAGCAAAAGGCCGCAAAGGTGAAGGCCATGGCTGTTCCAGCCAGCCTGACGGTGATCCGGGTCGAGAGAGGGCGAGGGGGAGTTTTCCCCTGCTCTCTCTCTCACTCTGTCCTCTCTTCACTGAGTTAAACTCAGTCTCGCCCCCGTCAAGGAAGTTGCGAAGCACTTTCCTCTTCTTCTGTCTCTCTCTACCCCTCGTCTTAAAGCTTGCGGTCCAGCTTAGGATGAAGTCGGGAGAGAATTAGAGAGGAATCTTCTTGGTCTGGAGCTGCAGATATGAGGTGTCTGGCTGGCTATCCGCCTCCGCTGGCTCAAGCGCCTTGCAACTTGTGGCTGGACCGTGTGTGTTTGTGTGTAATTCTTCCTCTCTGTTCACCTAAGATAACTGTTCGAGCTGTTTCCTCTTTTCACTCTCTCTGTTGTATCCTCTGTTCCTCCACTTGCTCTCCTTCTCTGTCTTTTTCTCTGATTGGCAGAGGGGTGTTTGTATATGTGGAGAATCGCTCCCCTCCCCCGTCTCTAAGATTAGTGCTTGTGGGCACATCGGAAGATGAATGTCCTCGGTATACGATCTGAAAAAGAGACATTGATTCGAGTTACAAAGTAAAGAATGGATGAATGAGTTCACCCCAGCTTGATGAATTGCTGAGCAGTAATTACAATTAGACGTATTTTAACTGCTATCGTGTTGTCATTTCAATCAATAACAGGACACATGTGAGCGTCTAATCGACAGGTTTTACAATGATTCATATCCTCTCTTAGATTGAAAGGTGGATTTAATATGAATATATGAACAAATTAATGACAAAGCAAAGTAAAAAAATGACATACTTTTATAGACAGAATTAGAGCAAATTATGATTTTAAAATGAGTCATTGAGGCTGAGTGTAACATAAAACATTATTTTTTACAAATAAATCTTTGTTAGATCATTTGAGTAGCTCGCTTAATGTGGATTTGCAACAAAAACATTTTTTACAGTTATATATTGAACTTATTATCCTAAGTAATCTAACCAAGGCTTTGTATACATATGCATTTCCAAGATACAACTGCATTTCTTTAAAAAATATTTACTGCTGGATTTGGTTGATGCAATGAATCCTTTGATTCATTGCCAATTTTTGTGCATGAATCCATAACAAAGCAGTAATGGTGTCCAGTTCTTGACCATGAATAAACAAAGCATTCAACATGACAGTGAAGAATGGTTAACTAAGTTAGCTGCGTTGCATGACAGGATGTAAGAACATGAGCATTTACCTGTTTTCTGAAGCAGCGGCGCAAGTCTGTCTAGATCTGTCCTCTCTCCCCTCATTTTCCTCCCATCAATCTGGGTCGACACCATGTCAGAAATCTCTGGTCTGCTTTGCTCTGTATGTCAGTGTCGGTCCCATCACAGTCTTTCATTGGCTGCTGCGACCAGGTATAAAACAGCAGAAAGAAGCGACACGTATGAATGGTGTATGGTGTATGAATGCTGGACGTTTTATCTTATGCTCTTGATCCTGCACAGCTTTCTGAAGTCTGACAATTAATTAAGCGTTTTCTCCCCCCCACCCCCCTTACCCATTTCCCTTTCGCTTTCTCTCGCTCTCATTCCTTCTCTGCCTCTCTCCTTTTTTTTATGAATTCAAGCATTCCCCGCTGGTTATTAATCTCAAAAGCAGAAGCAACGGAACAGCCCTTCTCTCTCGCCCCCATCTATTTGATGATAATAAAAATGTGATGTTATTACCTCTGAATGCGCTGCTCAACTACATTCAACAGTCTTCTCTTCCTCCGTCCCTGTATTTTCTGCCCTACTCTCTCATTCCCTGGAGAGATATGAGGGGGCAGAGGGAGCTCCGGAGCTTTTTTGGCTTCCCTTGTTTGTCTCTCTCTCTCTCTCTCTCCCTCCCTAAGTTATTCTCTTACTGTCTCTCTCTCACACAATGTTTCCTTTACTTTCTTCATGAAAGTGCATCTCTGTCACTGCAAGAGAGATGAAGGTTTGATTCTTTTTAGTCAAATATGCAGTCATATTTTCAGAGATCAAGAAGAGTTATTTTATTTCACTCACAATCTTTTTTCCCTTTTCACAGGGTTTGCACAGATTCCACAAATGTTTTTTTTCTATTTCCAGTCGTTCATGACAACTATTATGATTTTTTAAATTATTTTATAGAGTTATGGTGTGTTTTTTGTTATTTCTACATCACATTCAGTTATGGGAATAAATAGTTTAGGCCTATTATTATTTATTATTATTATTATTATTAGATTAAATGATAAAAACCTATGTTTGTACCAATATCTCCAGTAAGACAAATGTAACAGCTTGAGTAGAATGTAACTTAAAAAATGTATTCATTGCTTTAAAAAAATTCTTTGATTTTTAAGATTTATTTTATTACCATGCATAACTTTTCCAGGCTTGGACATTTTAAAACCATTAAAAAATTCCACTATATGTTCCATGAAATAATAAAATGAATAGTAGGTTCATAGTAATGTACCCCTTTGAACGGTTCCCTGCCACCTCATTTACATATTGTCAAATCCATTTTCAATACTCCCTGGGAAACTTCTTTTTCTCATTAGCTATATTTTTAAATCATCCCCACAATGTCTCCATCTTTGTTTACTGTGTGTTCTTTAAAGTGTGGAAAATATTGAAACTTGATAGACAAATATACTCCCCAGGGAGAAGAGACTGAATCATTCCAGTATTAAGGCTTCTGATTTGCTTTTATTGCTTACATTACCACAGCAATATATAGAGCGTTCTCTGTTTTCCAGGAACACTGACAAATATAGCCGCAAGTGGCAATTATTGGAGTCCAAGCATCAACGGTATGTAGACGATATGATGATACTGTCACTGTGTGGTGCAGGCAGAAGAAGATGAGGAGTCCAAAGTTCCAAAGCAAAGCATTTTACTTACAATACTATAACTTAAACTGGTATAGACAGGCAGAAGGTACACACACACTAAATACAACGGAGAACGGAACATTGATTGACATAACACAGGTGAAACAGATGATGATGATTAACTAAACACAGGTGATACAGATGAACTGATAATGATGATGACACGTGACTTGAAGATAAGGAGACAAGTCCAATGAAAACAAACTAAACAGAACACAACTGTGACATTACTCCCCCCTTCTGGTAGGCACGTCTTCGCGCCGTAGATAGACCAACTGCAGAGGGAGGGGACTCAGAAGGAGGACGAAGAGCAGGTGAGGGTAGACAGAAGGCAGGAGGGACCAGGGCGGAGCAGACGATGCAGGCGGCCAGGGTGGAGATGACGTAGGGAGGAGCCATGGTGGAGGCAGGGCTGACGACTCCAGGGGGCCGACTGATGGGGTCGGAGCAGGTGGGAGAGGAGACCAGGGTGGAGCCGGAGAGCCGACGAGCCTAGGCGACGCTGAAGATCCGGCGGGACATGGCGACGCCGCTAGGTCTGGCGACTGAAGTGCAGGCGGGGACACAGAAGGGCACGGTGGAGACAGAGGGAGTGAGGACCAAGGAGGAACAGAAGGGAGTGAGGAGTCCAACGGAGCCGGGAGGATGAAGGGACGAGGCATAGAGGAGTGAAGTCCAAAGGTGAGGGTACGTTGACGAGCGACCAAGGTGGATCTGGGGGGATGAGGGAGCCTGGCGGAACTGGTGAACTGATGGGCCATGGTGGAGCTGAGGGAGGTAGGAGCCAAGGTGGAGCTGATGGATTGACGGGCCAAGGTAGAGTCCTGGTTGCGGAGGTTGGAGGCGGAGACCGGGGATCCACCGACCAGGCTGGAGCTGCAGGCTGGCAGACCCACGGCGACTCTACCTCCCCGAAGGTGGTTTGAGGAGCTGAGGGGCTGACAGGCAGTGGTGGAAGAAGGGTTGAGAGGTGGCAGATGGGAGGAGGTGGGAGAGGGAGGCTGGGTGGGAATTCAGACACCGACTCAGGCTCGCGGACAGAAGAATCAGGCTCGCGGACATAAGACTCAGTGTCGCGGTCAGAAGACTCAGGCTCGTGGTCAGAAGACTCAGGCTCGCGGACATAAGACTCAGGCTCGCGGACATAAGACTCAGGCTCGCGGTCAGAAGACTCAGGCTCGTGGTCAGAAGACTCAGGCTCGCAGACAGAAGACTCAGGTTCGGCAGGACTGACATGAAGCTCAGGCTCGGCAAGACTGACGAGAACAGTCTCGGCAGGACGAGACTCTGAAAGGGCGGTCTCGGCGGGACGAGACTCTGGACGGGCGGTCTCGGCGGGACGAGACTCTGGACGGGCGGTCTCGGCGGGACGTGAACAGGCTAAGGCTGGTCAGGCATGACGTGAAGATCAGGCTGGTCAAGCATGACGTGAGGATTCCCTGGGTCTGGCTGTGTTCCAGATTGAGGCACAACGCTCTCCAGACACCGGATGACGGTCTCCCTCCCTCCCAGTGGTGTCTGGGAGGTCGATAGGGTAGTTGAATGTGGCCCCAATCCGGAACAAGGTGCTCAGGCTCACGTCATCGAGGGTACTGGTGATGGCAAGGCTGCAAAAGTCCATCACAAATGAAAAAAAGTTTTGGCTCTCCTGAGCCAGGACGATTATTCTGACCCTATCGTCCATTTTGGGCTGTCCGTACTTCTGTCACGGTGTGGTGCAGGCAGAAGAAGATGAGGAGTCCAAAGTTCCAAAGCAAAGCGTTTACTTACAATAATATAACTTAAACTGGTACAGACAGGCAGAAGGTACACACACACTAAATGATACAACGGAGAACGGAACATTGATTGACAGAACACAGGTGATACAGATGAACTGATAATGATGATGACACGTGACATGAAGATAGCCAGACAAGTCCAATGAAAACAAACTAAACGGAACACAACTGTGACAGATACAATGGCTATGTCTCTAAGCATCTCTTTTTTATGTCAAGTTTAGTGAAGTGTGGGCATTGTGTTCACAAGATTTTAGTTAATTAGTCATTATGGGCTACACCCACAAAAATGTCAGCCTATATCCCCAACAATAAAACAAATAAAAATTCTTTTGACAACTTTTTGTCAGGAGTGTCTCAAGATGGTGGATACCCAATTCTGTGCGAATTGAAAAAAATGGGTTCTCATAAGTTCGAAAAAGTAGGTTTTTAAAAAACTAGATACGCATATGATCAACTAATTTGAGGATACTGAAGGAATCATTTTTTTTTATCTTAAAGGGGTCATATAATGCCATTTTTGTACAAGCTAATATGATTCTTTAGGGTCTAAATTAAAAGTTTGTAATATACTTTAATTAAAAATTCTCATTAGTATTGTAAGAAAACACTTATTTTACCTGGTCAAAAACAGCTGTTTTCAGCACGCTGTTTCAGTGTATATGACTTTAAATGATAATGAGCTTTGCTCACTCCACCCCTCTGTTCTGCGCATACACCGTTTGTAACACAATAACACAATAACCACGCATTGTTCATTATAAACGTGGGATTATGAATTATATTGAGAACGTTGTACATAGAAAACATGCTGTAATGTACCCTGAGTGTAAACCGACGCATTCATCGTGAAGCGTGCAGCTGGCGATTTGCAAAGATTATATAAATATTAATATAAAGATTAATAAAACGTTACACTCACTTTAGTTCTTCTGAAGGTTCAGCAGGAAGACGAATAGGTTCCGATCCTTTATTCAGGTGCAGCTTCTCAGCAAAACCAGCTTTACACTGATCCTCGTTTATAAAGCAGTCCACTGAGAAATGATTCGCGCAAACATGAGAGCATTGACGTTGATCGTGGGGAATATTCCCTTCGAAAACAAACTCAGCCACTGCGTCTTCAGCGGTTCGGATTTAGGAACATTAAAATGACTGCTGTGTTCGTTATTGCACCCAAGAACAGAACACCACAATCGCTTAGACGCCATTCTGCTCATAGACAGTGCTCCAGCATATCAACAATGACCGCGCCGATCCGCGCAGACTATGATTGACAGGACGAGCGAGGGCGGGTCTGTGTTGAAACTCCTGTGCTGACTCCTGTCAATCAACAATCGTGGGAGGGGCGTCCGTTTTATTGACGTCACAAAAACGAACGGCTCAATTTGAGGCAGGGGAAAACATAAGGAGATTAAAACAAAAACACTGGATGGATTTTTATCATTATATGATGGTTGTGTACAGGCACTGCCAACACACATTTCAGTACAATCAACTTGTAAAAGTGCATGTACCATTATATGACCCCTTTAACTATATGACGACTTTACAGTTATAGGCAAAAATGTGTTATAGCGTCACCTTGAGGCTGATTCCCACCAAATTTAATACACAGCTTAATTTAAACACCTTCTAAGTGTCTGCTATATTTCGTAAAGATTGGCCATTCAAATTTGACGTTATAGGCTGCTGAAGTTGTATTGGTGGCTGGCGGCCATGTTTGTTCATTTATCGGAATAATATGCTATTTGAAACGGGTTTTTTTTTTTGTGCCCCCTATGGGTAGAATTTGATGCAACTTGGCTTGTGTCCTCAGAATGTCCTGTTGCTAATATCTTCGCAACACTTCAACAGTATGTATCAAAATTCTTTTGACATCTTTTTGCCAGCATAGTCTATAGCAGTTTTATACAAAGTTTGGTGAAGATTGGATAAACAGCCTAGGAGTTTGAAAAATTTTGAACATTTTATAGACAAGAATGACATGAATTTTGTAGGGTTTGACTCAAGAATTAAGAGAAAAATATAGGGGTGCTTGGACCCCTAAATATCCTGAAGCTCACATGTCACATTTGACAGATATTTCCTGCATGCCATGTGTTTTCTCTTCTAATGGAGTCCAATAGTACCATCTGGTGGATTCTTCTGTACTCTCTCCTTTCACTCTCTCCTCTATCCTGAGGAAATGCCATTTTAATCAATTGTAAGGCTACCGCAACTCAACTTAGATTAATTCCTTCCTTTAGCAACTTCCAATTTTATTTAAGAATCAGGGTTCTCATGATTTTAGACAAAATAGAAATACTGTAAGAGGGAATTTTATAAAGTGTGATTTCTAGACCTAAAAAACGAATGGAAATTAGCCTATATAAAAACCCTGCAAGCACAAACTATAAAAGTCATGTAAATTCATTAATAATAAAAAGTGTAAACCTTGAAGAACATTCAGTTATTGGGATTATCGAATTTAATTATTTAAATTATTTAGTCTATATTATTTGATTTCATTCTTTACTTACACATTATTTCGACATTCCACTTTAGGCATTCTATTAACTAGCCTACATTTCTAACTTTGCAACTAACTTGTCAACTAACTCAATTTGCAACTAGCCAACATATCAACTAACTCTCTCATTGGAGTATTAGTTGACTGTTAGGTTAGGGTTAGTAGAATAATTTGACATGTACTTGCAAAGTTACTAATAGGCGCCTAGTCAGTAGAATGTCTTTTGAGATGTAAAGGAAGCGTTACCAATAAATGTTAGCAGATATTTAGCAGAGATTAAGCAGATATTAAGTCTACTAATATTCTAATGACTGGTATGACACGTAGTTCCATAGTTAGTAGAATGTCTAAAGTGGACTATAAGTAAAGTATTATAGGCCTACATTATTTTAATATATTGCCACTTAGTTTCTGTAAATAAAAGGTGTGAAAATGAGCAGCTATGTAATTATAGCAGAAGTATCAGAAATACCTTGGAGTCAAAAAGGTTGAGAACCACTAAATTAAATGAAGACTTCACCCAAAAATGAAGATATTACGTAGGCTATTCTCATGATTTATTCACTCTCATGTTGTGCCGTGCAAATCGGCGGAGATGTTCGGTTGAATTACATTCTCTTTCCATTGCACGAAAAGATGCAAAGAGTGACTGATACTGTCAGTCCGTAACATTCTGCCTAATATCTTCTTTTGTGTGTAAGTGAAAACAATAGAAAATTATATGAGGGTAAATCCATATAGATATAGTTTATAATGCTTTTATCCAACGGTATTAAATATAATCGCAACATGATGAAACCATGAAACTCGCACTGATTTGTATCGTCGGAGCGGAACTAAAAGTACTTGGCTTGCGCGTTACACACGGACGGAGTTGTGTGCGACAGTAGCGTGGACGTCTGTATTTTTATCAGTAAATCCAAAATCACCAATTTCCTTTTAAATGGCTGCTAAAAGCCAAATATGCTCAATATGGCTTGGATCCGAAACTGGAATATTAAAAGGTAAGGTGTTGTTTGGAGTTTCTCGTTTCTTTGTCGACACATTTCTGACTATCTAGTTAGCCATGTATGGTTACACGTGAGTTGACACCACAGACCTGCCATTTCATTTTCTTGAGGGCCACTCAACTAATGACTTCGTATCCATATTTCATCTCAAGGGGTGAGTCTCAGCAAAAAGCAGGCGTTTAACTTCTGTGAGATGAGCTGCTTGAGTCGGGATCAGGAGGTTTGCGTGATGGCATGGGGAGACTCGCATGAATCAGAGGTGAGAAAGAGAGAGAACTGGAGTAGCATACCACATCATCATGATTTAGTGACTGACAGACGTTGTCTATGTGTGTGTGTGTCTTTGCAGGTGTTAGTGGGCAGTGTGAACGGCTCTGTGAAAACTTTCAGCACGGATAAAGGGATCTTTACTGCGACCAGAGAGTGTGGGGATCCTTCACAGGGCAGATTCACAGGACTGTCTGTCACGGACAGGTTGTTGCCAATATCATGTTTTGATTGTCTCTGCAGTGGCTGATGAATTACTGGATGTGTTGTTGGTTTGCATGTATGAACTGTAGGATTGATGTACTTTCTTCCCCCTTTTCCAGTTCTTTGATCACGTGTGTGGAGTCAGGATTGCTGAAGGTGTGGAAGGAAGGCTGTACAGACACAGTAAGTCAGTGTGATTTCAATGTCCTGCAGTGTCTTCTATATTTCAATTAAAGGGATACTCCACCCAAAAATGAAAATTCTGTCATCATTTATTCACCCTCAAGTTGTTGCAAACCTGTATGAGTTTCTTTCTTCTGATGAACACAAAGGAAGATATTTTGAAGAACGATTGGAACTAAACAGTTGTTTGGCACCATTGACTTCCATAGTAGAAAAAAAAATATTATGGAAGACAATGGTGCCAAAGTTCCAATCGTTCTTCAAAATATTTTCCTTTGTGTTCAGCAGAAGAAAGAAACTCATACAGGTTTGCAACAACTTGAGGGTGAGTAAATGATGACAGAATTTTAATTTTTGGGTGGAGTATCCCTTTAAAGCTATAAAAAAAAATCAAATTCTTTGAGTGGCTGCTCACTGCAGAGCCATGGGTGGAGCGAGAAATCCAGCTCCCCCTCTCTGGGGATAATGGGTAGAGCTAGAAGGTCAGACCACTCCCTAACCCTACCCATAACTCTATTCATCCACCCATTAGATACACAGAGGTGGAGCTGGACTAGGTCATTTGGAGTATTTACTGTGAGAATGTTAAAAATTGTGGGGAAAAATAAATGAAATGGACACCAATCATCAGCATCTACAAATATGAATATTCCCTTATACATTAAATGGTTAGTTCACCCAAAAATTCTGGCATTAATTACTCACCCTTATGTTGTTTCAAACCCGTAAGACCTTTGTTCATCTTCGGAACACAAATTTAGGGTGTATTCACACCAGGAAAGTCCGATAGTTCACTTGCTTTGGTCCGGACCAAATAAATTTTTTTTTTTTTTTTTTTTTGGTACGGTTCGCTTTCACACTGCTCTTTTTGCAAGTGAACCAAAATTTGTAAACAAAACCACACGTGTGCTAAGGTCGTCCATTCATTGGACAAGGATTCTCAAGTAGGGAAATCAGGAAGTGCAAAAAAGGCTCAGCATGGAGATATTTCGTACTGCAATATTTGTTATTTTACTAATTTTGTGTTATTCTGTACAAACGCAATATGAAGAAACTGCGCAGAAGACGGATAAGGTATAAAGTTTTGATTCATAGAGAGGAGCTATGTTCACACATTCAAATAATGAGAATCTTATTGTATATAGGCTACTGCTTACAAGTGCTGTCAATGTTAACGCTTGCGATTTAAGTTTGTCCAGTTTAATGCAGCGTCATCCTTGTTTTGTAACTATCGTTACATTGTATGAACTGCAAAAGCTTTTTTTGCATCTATGCGCGATTAGACTAAAGAGAACGCGCTGTATGTGAATGTCCTGATGCACACACTCATTCATTCATTCTATTCCAATGACGCACACATGGCGCGCAGAAAGACGCGCAACAGTATCGTGTGGCCAGACAGCGCGCCGGAATGGAATTCTCTTTCGCACTTAAACAACAATAACACAAACCATTATGCCAAAATATCCGACTACGGAAGCCTTTTAACTCAAAGGTGCAGTGCTTTCTTGCAATTGGGTCGGTTCATGTTCACACCGTAAACGAACCGTACCAGAGTTCGTTTGGAAGCGTACCGAGTCCACCTCTTCAGCTGGGTCTCGGTTCGGTTGTTTGGTCCGCACCCGAGTTCGATTGCTGTATTCACACCTGCCCAAAAGGTCCGCACCAAGGGGGGAAACGAACTAGAGTTCGATTCAATCGAACCAAACAAGGCAGGTGTGAATACACCCTAAGATATTTTTGATGAAATCCGAGAGCTTTCTGTCCCTCGATAGACTGCAACGTTATTACCACTTTCAAGGCCCCGAAAAGTAGTAAATACATCGTTACAATAGTCCATGTGACTACAGTGGTTTAACCTTAATGTTATGAAGCGATGAGAATACTTTTTGTGCGCAAAACCCCCCAAAAATAACAACTTTATTTAACAATCTTTTTTCCTCCATGTCAGTCTGCTATACTGATCATGTAGTAAACAGTGCCTCGCTTCCAGGTTCTACATCAGAACGCCGGATCATTAAATCAGTATTATTTTTTTAGGGTGGATTTCAGAAACAAAATGTAATAACTTAAAAATTGGTAAAATAATGCACCATTTGTATCATGTAGTTTACATGTTTTGCTTTTGATTTGTTTTAATTGTTACAGTAGTAAAGTAGACATCAGGTTACCTATTAAGGCTTTAAGCTAAAAGAATTTCCCATATTATTACCCCAAACGTTTGTCACTATCAAACAAAAGGTTAATCAGTCAAAAGTCCTTATTGCATGTAAATTTGTTCATTTTTATTTATTTGTTGTGGGTCACATTGACTGACTATTCTAGCTGTTTTTTAATATATATATATATATATATATATATATATATATATAGTAGCCTGCCTTTTGATATGTAGTCTCATTAGAGCACTGGTAGTCTGGATTTGGTCATCTGGACAAGTATCTCTATTTGGGGTGATCCAATCCAGTGTTGCTCTGAAAAACCGGCCAAAAGTAAAATGTATTACCTCACCATGGGTAGCAAAACATAGGCTTTCCAAATCAGGACCATTCTTATCCAGAGTAAACTTTTGGAACAAGTGGGCCCTGCTTCTGTTGTTTGAATTGTAGATTAGTTTTGAATAAAGTATGATGATCTTTTCATCTCTATGATAATTTTGTTGACTCTTAAGATGTGGACTTAGTAAATAGGATCCTCAACCAACCTCATCCATCTTTGTTCTCAGGTTGAGGTAAATGTTGGAAATGGAATTTGTAGAATGCAACAGAACCTGTCACAGCGCCATCGTGTGGCTACAGGGGGTAAAGAGAACCCTCTGAAAGTCTGGGATCTGGAGAGACCAGAAAAGCCAATATTCACAGCCAAAAATGTAAGGCAGAAGAGAAAAAATAACTATGAACTTTTCAGCACCCAGTAGTTTGTGAGTACTGTTACAAGCTGTTCTTTTTTTTCTTTTATCCGTCAGGTAGCCCATGACTGGTTGGATATGCGAGTGCCCGTGTGGGTGAAAGACATCGGCTTTATTCCAGATTCAGATAAAATAGTCACCTGCACTGGACACCATCAGGTCTGTTAACCCATTAACCCTTTTCTCTGGCTTTATCCATTCATGCTTTTCTACCGTTGTTTCTTACACTGTAAAATTATTTACTTAGAAAGGTCATGTGTTAATTTTTGTTTGGGCCGTTCACGATCGTCTTCCGGGTGGTCCCCCTCGGTCCGTTCACGTTTGTTGCTGGGCCCAGTGCGGTTGCACCACCCTAAGGACTGCCCTGTATATATATATATATATACACATACATTATACATTTTTGCTGGATTTGATGAATGGAAAGTTCAAAAGAACAGTATTTATCTGAAATCTTATCATTTGAAACATTGTTTTTACAGTCACTTTTGATGTGACTGCATCCTTGCTTAATAAAAGTATTAATTACAAAATCTTATTGACCCCAAATTTTTGAATGCTAATGTATTTAAATGAATTCTGGCTGTATTTAAAGGAATTCAGGCTGTTTCATCAAAAACAGGCATGCACAACTTTCTAATTTATCAATTCAAAGTACTCTTTTAGTTTGAACCCTATACAGTTGTCAATCACGTAAAATAATCTATATAAATTCAGTATTCACACCAATGAATTTGTTACTTTGTTTTGCTTGTGTAAAGTGTAGAGGCCGTGACACCAAAACGACATCAAAGAACTAGCAGCAATGAAAGCTCACTGTGTTTACGGCTTGTCAAGTGTGTCTATGCCAAAAAAAATCTAATTTGTTTTTCGTCTTGTGCACTATAAAGCTGAACAGCCCATCAGAGTTCTCTCATTGATCACTGATGGCGCTGATGCCAATTCAACATGCTCAATCAGCCTTAAAGCCACCAATGGTGTCTGACTTGTGCCGACAGTGTGGAACACTCCGCAAAAACTGAGCTGACTATAGCCGCAGATAGCTGACCATTTGCTTGGTGTCACAGCCTCAACCTCCAGCTTTAAACTGATTGGTCGCCACTTCAACATGCATTATAGGTGTTACCAAAAAATGTTTATCTTGTTATTAAAGATTTAACAGCTTTTTCAGAATACAGTTGGCAATTTTCCATAAGTATTGTGAGCCAACCATGTTTTTCTTCCTGTCCTGTACCCTTTACTATTGTATTTATGCATGTCTTCCTTTGTGTCTTAAGGGAAATATCTGTGTAAATATGACTCAAAATATCTTGCCCTGTTCGTTCTGCTCCTCCTCCGACAGGTGCGTGTGTACGACCCCTCGACGTCTCAGAGGAGGCCGGTGATGGAGGCTCAGTTTGGAGAGTACCCGCTCACAGCGCTCTCTCTTCCTGCCAGCCAGGACACAGTGGTCGTGGGCAACACTCACGGGGAGATTGGCATTCTTGACCTCAGAAAAGGTAAGCAGTAGGTGGATGCTCTGTTTATTTATTCTCTTAGGCAGGCTTGGATCAAAAGCAGTTGTTTTGAACTGAAAGTCCATTGCTTTGTTTTTTTGTCCTGGATCTGTGTGTTCCAAGTATAAAAGATGTATTTGGCCAGCCGTTCTCTGTATATGGACTGTTATATTATTGAACTCCTGAGAGTGTTGTTTTGTCTGACCCTATTTTCTTCTCCATCTGCCTGCAGGGCTTGTGCGTGGGTGTCTTAAGGGTCTGGCGGGGGCAGTGCGGGGGTTGCAGTGCCATCCTTCCCTCCCATTGGTGGCCTCTTGTGGTTTAGATCGTTTTCTGAGAGTACACAGCCTGGAGGACCGTTCCTTACAACACAAGGTATGAATACACAAGAAACCAGGTTTCTTTATCCATTTTCTCTGCACTTCATCTGTCTCTTTTTCTCTGCTGTTGTTTCCATATCCTTTGATTTCTGCATAGCCCCACTCCTCTTATTTCCATCTGGTTGCATACACCATATAATCATAAGTGCCTCCCACTCAAGTGTCGTGTTTGTGTAAATGGTAATTTTATGAACATATTTTCTCTTTGCAGGTATATCTGAAGTCACGACTCAATTGTGTGCTACTTTCTAGCAGAGAACTGGAGGTAAGTGGTGGATCATTTTGATAATTCTTTTTATGTAACTGCCTATCAACAGTAGCAACAATGTAAGCTGCTTTCTCGCTGATGACTTTATACTGCATCCTAATGACTTTGTTAATCGTATGACTCTGTATGTGCTCTTCTCTTTCAGTCATCAAGTCCTGATGTTACTGGAGATGTAGAGGAGGTGAAAGCAGAGGAGGATGAGGTTTGGGATACTATGGAAACAGTGACGGAGAAGACAAAAAAGAGGGCTGCCCAAAAAGGCGAAACAGCGGTTAATGGGGTAGATGGAAAAAAGAAAAGAAAACTAGTAAAAACTAATGTAAAGTGATTTATAAAGGACATTTTTATCATTTTATACACTGTTGATGTCATGTCATGACTAAAACATGTATCAGAAGTGGCCAGAAAGAAACTTAAACCTGATAGAGGATAGTTCACCCAAAAATGAAAAATCTGTCATTATTTACTCGCCCTCAAATTATTCCAAACCTGTATGCATTTCTTTGTTCTGCTGAACACAAAAAATATATATTTTGAAGAATGTCGGTAACCAAACAGTTCATGGACCCCGTTGACTTCCATCCGGGTTTTTTTCCCCTCCATATTATGGAAGTCAATGGGGCCTGTCAACAGTTTGACATTCTTCAAAATATCTTCCTTTGTGTTCAGCAGAAGAAAGAAATTCATACAGGTGACAGAATTTCCATTTTTGGGTGAACAATCCCTACATACATACATGTGTATGTATATATATAGTGTACAGGTCATCATTTTGTAATGGATTTGAACATTAAATGATCTGAAATTTGATATTCAGATTACCTTTTTAATATGTGAAAATGTTACAATTCTATTGAACTGGATCAAATGGAGCTGTTATGTACAAACAAGAACAACTTGTCCCTTCTATCACTGTAATTCTGAATTAAACTGAGTTGAAGGAAGAGTCTGTAGCAGAGCTTTGTCTTTGTATTTTCAATAATTAAGTTTCAATTGTGTTTAATTAACTCAAGTATATATGAAATGTAACACCAACACTGCAAAAAATGCTTTTCTTACTTAGTATGTCTGGCTGGTTTCCAGTCCAAATATCTAAAAATTCTTAGATCAAGAAGCATTTACTAGAGAAGTAAAATTACAAGAAATCCTATCATGTTTTCTGATAATTGGGGTAATAAAAATAATCTTGTTTTCCATTTAAAGTATTTTTTCTCTTACCTTATTGGCAGATAATTTTGCTTATTTTGTTTCAAAAACTCACTTAATATTTTTTTTTATCACAAAGATAGAATTTCTTGAGTTTTTGAAACAAAATAAGCAAAATTATCTGCCAATAAGGTAAGAAAAAAAATACTTCAAATGGAAAAGAAGATTATTTTTATTACCCCAATTATCAGAAAACATGATAGGATTTCTTGTAATTTTACTTCTCTAGTAAATGCTTCTTGATTTAAGATTTTATTTAGATATTTGGACAGGAAACAAGACAAAGATACTAAGTAAGAAAAGCATTTTTTTTGCAGTGAAACTGTCAGACAAATTTTAAGAAAGTGTGCACTTCAGAAAATATTTCCTACAAAAATCTGTGATGTGGTTTACAATACTACTTTATGTGAAGTTTACATTCTTTCCCAAGGCCTGTGTACAGTATCCCTTTCAAAAATTAATTTGAGGTACATTTTACTGAAGTAAAAAGAGAATCATGAATCTGTGCTGGTCTAAAGACCTTGACTTGACCGTGAATGACCATGCATACCTGTGTTTGTGTGGGTGTGTGTATTACGCATTGCGTTATGCACACTTAAACACACCTTATACTAGCCTCTGATAAGATAAGGGACATCTTGGTTAACACTGAAACCGTCGACTTTGTAAATGAGAGAATTAGTAGCTAATAACTGATTTATTTTGAGCACAATAAGAGGATGAATCTGTAGGTCTCAAAAATGTAACATTTTTACATTACAGTGGTGTTATAACCAATGAATCAAATTAAATAATACATTTTCTTTAACAAACATTCTGTCCAAGCTTCTGAAATCAAATGTATTTATAAATCTGATCATAGACAGTGATGTTCAAGGGATGACGTAGTTTTCATATGTACAATTTTAGGGTGTTTAGTGCATCTAATAAGTGACACTTTCGACGTGACAGATAATTAAACATGGAAACATTTTCAAGGAGCCGAGGAGCAAAGGGCATAAAATATAGAGGGAATGATGATGTATGACAACATGAATTGAACTCTGAGACCTTGCAGGGTGGAAAGGGCAATATTCCTGACTGCTGACTTGAGATTTTAAAACCTGAAGTGTGAAGTTTATACACAGGACAACAGCCTCAGAATTTCCTGAATGATTCTTGTAAATTATGAAACCCATAAACTATTGCGTGACCCTGTGTGCTGTACTAAGGTCGTAACCACTGGAAAGATTTCATTTCCTCATGATTTCCTCCTTTAGAGTGAGGGAAATAGCTGAACTAACCCCAAAAACACAATCACCACATTATATTACACTTCCTGAAATATATATTTATCATATAGGCCTATAATTATTTTTGCATTTTTTCAATATCTTGATTAAAATGTTAGATTGTGACCGCAGTCGTCGTCTTCTGGTCCAGTTGCAAACCTCTTATCACAAGAAACACAAAGCAAATTTCTAGTCCCAGACCTTCACCTGCCTAAGGTACAATATTATGTGCTTAGATGGAGTATTTTGTCGTGGTACATTAATTTACACACCATTCTTGTGTTTGACAATCGAAATTCCACCACACAGTGTGCACTTCTGTGCTCTTTAACCCAACAATGACAATAATTAACCCTCTCTCATCATGAGTATTTTATTATCCTGTTATAAAGCATTTTTTTTTCATTCTTTGATCAATGTTTAGAGTCCATAGTCTACTCTATCTAGTCTAATCATGCAGCATTACCTCATGCTGTGCTATTACCAGTAATTAAGACATTGACCTACATCACTCATTTGCTGTGTTGCATTATAAATCAAGCCTTAACAACTCACAGTGGGTGAAAACAGCTATATATTGCAAGAAATAAGACTTGTGATGTGCAACAAACAATGTTCTGATTCTGTGCTCTACATCTAAATAATATAACTAAAAAATCAAGTTAAACTGTGACGCCCTCTAGTGGTTTATTGTGTTTAAAGTAAACTGGCAAGACTTCTGATTTGGATGTCTGTTTGGCCCACAACATTTGTTTAGACAATTTTAATAAAATGTGTTGCTCTGAACTGTTTTAAAAATATCAATGTACCTAAAACGTTACAAAATAGGGTCCTGAGGTAGCCTGTGTGTAAGTCCATAAGAGTCCAGGATGTTGAATATGAGGGGCAGGGCCAAAAAGATGTTAAATATTGACGAGGAGTGTAATTATTAACTAAGCTTCAACTCCAAATCACTTTTAAACTGGCCTCTCTCTGGCCTGACATAGCACTGCTGACCGACGCACCCTTCTCACTAGCTGACTCTCTCGTTGTGCTGTCACTATCTCTATTGTTTTCAGTTCCTTTTCAAATTTTTGTAGACATATTTTTACTTTGCTTCTGTAAGTTCTTTAATCTCTATATTTATATAAACGTTTCTTTTGGTCTTTTGTTTGCATTCTTTCTCTTTTTCCCCCCCTGATGCGTCCTGGACTCCCACGAGGAAGAACTGTGAAGGTAAGTAACTCTTTAATGAAAATTAAGTTGTGGGTACATATGTGAGGAACATGAAATTTTTAAGTGGTTTAAATTTTATAATATTAAAATATTTTCTAAATAAATATATGTATTTAAAAAAAAAAACATCCAGTGCAAACCTCATGCAGTTGCTTCGCCCTCTGCAATTATTCTGATTCACGTAGGAAAATGTAATGTTAATGTCTGACTGTTTGTTTGAGAAAGGCTAGATTCATTTTACTTATGTAAATATACCTGCATTGTCTAACAAAGTACAGGTAATAAGCATAAGAAAAGGGGATAAGAAAAGAATGCAAAAGGCTTTCGCTCGGCCCTCAAGCATTTGAAACAATATTTTCCAAGAACAGGGTCTTATAAATCAAAAAGGGTTTGAAGTAAGTTTCTTTTAGATGATCTTCAATACATGAAGCAAACTGCCTGGTACTGATGTTCAGATGCAAATAAATGGCGGTTTTAGGTTTTGTATTCATTTTTATACAACAATCTAATATTCTATGTCACATATTTTCCACAATTATTTTCTTTTCTACAAAGTAGATTTGATGAAACACATGTGACTTACTCCAATATCAAGTACGGCAATTGGGAATTATGATAAAAATGAACCACCTTCATGAGTTCATGCCATTGATTTTCTCTCACCCAACACAAATGTTGGATACGGCTCAGAGATGAGAAAGAAAATGGTGGATTCACAAGATGATGATAACAGGGGCAGATAACACAGACTGACTCATGCGATGTGTGCCCCCTTTAATTACTTTATTATGCTGTTTTTCCAAAGGTAGCAAAGAGCAGGGAGGTTTACAGCAAGGCAAAGTCTAAAATATGATATAAATGAAGAAACCAAGAAGAGAGAAAGAACATGATAGAGAATGTGGGATGGGTAACTCATGACTAAAAGGAAGTGATATCTACAAAATTAAGACATAAAGGCACATAAATTATTGAGCGACACACCCTTATTTCTCTCACATCACACACACATTCTGCCGAGTACCCTTATGTTGACTGCTGTCATAAAATTGCTGTTATCAAGATCAGTCTTAGCACTTTGGACATGCAGTTGGCCAATAATGGAGTCTATGGCATGTCATAAAGATGAGAAAGAAACAAGAGGTCAAAGTCATGAGCCAACAGAGGAACTCTCACATGTTCTTAATGGCAGTCATTAGCCTTTGTCTGAATCCTGATCTAACTGTCTTCTATGCTTTCATTTCAGGTGGAACCACACTTTCTTCTTCTACTAAAACTACCCTGTATGGTGAGAAGTTTTTGTGAGAATAAGGAATAAGTGCACTTCCTTCCGCTGTCCAAAAGGGGCACACTCCAAAGATTTGGTGCTGGCTGGTTGTAACAGCAACTCCATGTGGAAGGTTTGTGTCTTCCAGTGGAGCTGCTGTTGCGTGCAGATAGTCACCTTTAACTGCCTTATTTCTACATTACTGCTCCTTTGAAGTGAACAAAGAACATAAAGTCCTAAAGTTTTTATTCTTATTTAATGTAATGCCTAATACTAGGCTGTGAATGTACATCTATACTACAAGAAAGCATGTTTAACCCAGGGTCTAGGACACAGGGTGATGACCTATGAATTGACAGCCAGTGTTTGCAGTCCAGCTGCCTGTCAGTTCTGTAGGCCACTGTCCTGTTTATCCTACTAAACACACACTGGTTTGCACAGAGAATGCAGGACACTGTTATGTATAATTGTTGGGCTGAATAAATGTAAAACTTTCATGTAATTGTTAATTTGAAAATGTATTTGTTGTAAAGTGTATTTATTTTGATGTAGCTAGCTAGCAATACAACATGATTTATATTTATATATGTATTTGAGTTATTCAACTGTTTCATTTGAACGTTTAAAATAAAAATATTTTTTAACTTTAAATAAATGTATCTTTTACAGGTTTTCACACTGTTTTCAACATATACAGTAGCCTACTTATTTCTTATGTTTTTTTGTCACATTCTTTGCATAGATTTCATTTAACATTGTTTACGAAGTTTTCCAAAATCAATGTGTCATGACTTATAACAATAAAGATAATTATAACGATAACTACATTAGCATCCGTACCAATGCATGATAACATTCGGGTGCCGTACCTTTCCTTGGTTGGACAGTAAGAACCTTGGTTCACATTGGGACACTGATGACTCTATTTCCGCCGACCTGACAACGTCCTAATTGTACAACATCACTACTGTATGAACAACAGCAGAATGATTTAAAATGTTTAATTTCTGACATTATGTTTTAATATTATTTAAAGTACATTATGATGATAAACACTTTGCTTATTACATGTGTGAAACATTTCAGCCAAATAAATTATAAATGTTTGCTAGATTATGTTCATTACCTGTCTAGCGATGTATGTTTACGGTATGCTAAAATATAATTGAATAATAATTTCTATTTTAAAAACATCTATCGCATGTCATTATGTATAGTGAGATGGCTCACGTGATTTATGTTTCATGCTTTAGAACAGGGATGGGCAACTTCAGTCCTGGAGGGCCATTGTCCTACAGAGTTTAGCTTGCCTTCAACCCTAATCAAACACACCTGAACAAGCTAATCAAGGTCTTCAGGATTACTAGAAAATTACAGGCAGGTGATTTTTTTCAGGGTTGGAGCTAAACTCTAGGACAGTGGCCCTCCAGGACCGACGTTGCCCATCCCTGCTTTAGAACTTCCGTTCCCTGGTTTTCACGATGCATTGTGGGACTATTTAGGGAGGGAATGTTAGAAGGATTTTGCGATTGAGACCACCCTTAAAATGGCTGACTCCCTGATCAGTGCCCTGACTACTGAACTAGGGAGCTGATTGAGATGCACCCTGAGTTTATTATAAGCTTCAGTTTTTGTCGTCTGCCAGTTTAAATAATCAAGCTGGATTTCTATTGGCTCAAAAAAATCGTTCTGAAAGTGTGTCGTTATCATTATAGTTGTGGTGTGGACTTTCCCTTTTTTATAGAATTAGAACGATTATTAAAACTTTACAGTTATCGTTCTCATTAGGCCTAGTTATTATCCTTGGTATCAAGAGTCCTTTAGTCACACATAAGCCATTAAAAAGAAATCACTGACAAAATATTCCACTTCACTCACAAACAACCTGAATCCAAAGCCAATTTCCTGTAAATGTCAGACTTCTTTCACTTTCAGTTTTGTTTTGCCCAGAGTTCCCCCCCTGAAAGGTCGTGCAGGGGAGTTTTAGATATAGGAATAGCTCTAAGACTAGAATTAAGCTTACAGACAGTAAATTGCCTCACAAACATGGCAGATAAACAATATTAATTGATTAAAAAATAAATAAATAAATAAATTAAATAAATAAACAATGGGTTTGTTTGTCTGCATCCCATTCTGATACTCGAAGAACATAAAGCTCTGGGAAATTCCTGCAAACCACATGATAATTCTAAACGAATGACTGTCAAAATGAAAGAATTCTTTCATTAATTTTCACTCTCTGATACAATAGCTGAGCCACGTGAGCCAACTCACAAGAGGCCTCTAAAGACGCATCTTTTGCTTTTCTTGGTTGTTTTACTTTTATTATTTGTAAGGCCTATAAGCACTTCTACATAATTTTCACAGTTTCAGATTAAAAGAACATTACAGAGTATTTATTTGAGGGTGATGAGTGTCAATTTCTAGGACCCCCTTATGACAGACAGTGTCAAACCTGGCACAGACTCAGACCAGCAACTGTTACTCTATTCCAGGACAAATATAGCAGTCAGCCAGTTACATGCTCAAAAGAAAACCCCCATCCCATCCCCCAAAACAGGAATATTACTGTCCTTCCCAAGTTTTTCATGTGAGGTTCATTCATACAATATTTTGGGCATGAACAGATGGCATTGATTTAACCTGTTAAATTGGCTTTATTATATTATATTATATTATATTATATTATATTATATTATATTATATTATATTATATTATATTATTTTATATTACATTACATTACATTACATTACATTACATTATATTACATTATATTAAATGTTGTTGAATAAATTTCTAGTAATTTATGGCCTCTAAATTATTCATTCATTCATTCATTCATTCATTCATTCATTCATTCATTCATTCATTCATTCATTCATTCATTCATTCATTCATTCATTCATTCATTCATTCATTCATTCATTAAAACAATTAAAAGTTAAGGTTATTATAATCAATATAAACTTTATTTGTTAGAAAAAAAGAACGTCAGCTGTGTTTCACAAAACCCCATTTTGGGTGGGTGGGTAGGTGGTGATGGGGGGCTTTTATTTTGGAAGTTCCCTTGAGTTCCGGTCATTAGTAATGTATTAAAAATGTTGTTGGGGGCGCGAGCTCGCACTGTCACGCGCAGAGTGCTCGGGCTGTGGGAGCAACTCCAACGTCTATAAAAGAAAACGATCTCCCTGCAAGTCAGGTCGCAACTGACGGGAGTTAACTAACTTCAGTCTGATTTACGGAAAAAGTCAAAGTTGGCAAAATATAAATGAATGCATAAAAAGACAACAGTTAGTTGAACAGCTGACAGGACAGACCCACCACGCTGGCAGTCCGCTGTAACGTTACCTGGCATTGGACCGTTAATTCATTCGAACCGCTGGATTAAACTGCCTAGAAATCAGCAGAGAACTTGTAGTTTATTTTACACAAGTTTATTTGACACATTTTGCAACATGTTCAGCTGGGCGAACAACGACGGGAAGAAAAAGGACCCCGAACTGTTTCAGACTGTTTCTGACGGGTTGAAGCGACTCTACCGGACCAAATTATTTCCACTAGAAGACACGTACCGCTTTCACGACTTCCACTCTCCGGCTCTGGAAGATGCTGATTTCGATAACAAGCCGATGGTACTTTTAGTGGGCCAGTACTCCACAGGGAAAACCACTTTTATTCGTCATCTCATGGAGCAGGATTTCCCCGGGATGCGCATAGGCCCCGAACCGACCACCGATTCATTCATAGCGGTGATGTACGGGGAACAGGAGGGTCTGATCCCGGGCAATGCTTTAGTGGTTGACCCCAAGAAACCCTTCAGAAAACTCAACGCCTTTGGAAACGCCTTTCTGAACAGGTGAGATCTTCATTCATTAAGTTACACTTTCAAACAACCTTCTTTTTAAAAATAAACACATTCTGAAAAAGTGCAGTGTTTACAATAATCATGTGTCTTTTGCAGTTGTTTTTATTGCTCAGGATTGCAGCTTTTCAGGGTGTTGTCTGTCAAGAGGTTGTCAAGTTTTGTATTTCATATAACGTTACTCGGCATTACTTTTATGAAATGTAACGATAGGAGCCTTCTGGACATTAAAAAGGGTGAAGAGGGTGTTCATGTTGTACTGAAAATTGAAACTCCTGCACTTTTTTTCCAGCTTACTTTGCATGCTGAAGTCGCCAGCTGTATTGCAAGGGTGGAGCTTTAACAGGAGTAAAGCTGAATTCTTAACTGGTTCACCATTGGTGTTTTATATCATTGATGAAGATTTGATTAAGTATATTACATACTTACTTTTTCCTGCTTTTTACCACTCACACTATTGTAATAGTCATTTGTATGTTGTTTAACACACACTTTGACAGCCAACGTCAAATCACATGTTTTCTGGCCTGCAAACATGTATGTCTGTCAGTTTATGAAGACTGATATGATTTGCTTCTTTGTAATCCTCACAAACCTTTATTAATACTTTTAGATATAGTTGTCACGCCCCAGAGAAAAAGTCTTCAGGCTTTTGAACCTGACATTAAAGCTTTACCTGAACTCAATTTTAAACCTTTATACCAGCAAAACTTTCCCTTTTTCATTGTGTTTCAATAATTATTGAAGATATTAATACACATTTTGTGTGCATAAAACTTCTTGCTCGTTAGTCTTTGGTTCCCTCGTCGAAGAGGAACGTCAGCTGACCCTGGTTTTGACAGCTGCAGAGGCCTTTAAAGGTCTTTTTAACAAGCTCTTGGGGAATGGGGCCCTCCATAAGGAATGACATGAAAAGAAACTGAGTTGACGTTTGTAATGGTGTATCAGTTCAACTCACAGTTGTCTTTTCAACATGTTACATATGTGACATGAACAGAGATGGGTGTGTCTTCTCTCAAGGACTAGTACTACACTTTTCCTTTGACTTGTGCTTGTTGCAGATATGAGGACTTCACTACAACCCCATGCTGGTCAATGCTTGAATTAGAGGGATCATATTATGCACGGATCATATTTACACCCCAACATGCCTGGGCTGGCAAACTGCGTTTTATTCTACGAAAATGTCCTTTTAAAGAAAATCTTGGAATGCTTTCAATTTGAGCAATAAGTAGGTTGACTAGTCAATCATGAGTGGGAGGGGAATAGTTAAAGATTTCAGCCCTCCTCTCTCCCTGAACTCTCCTTGACTGTGTGTTGTTTTAAGGTCAAATCAGATTTTCTTGAGAAGCTCAGTGTAATCATGAATTGATCAGAGACTTTTCTGTAGGTGTGTGATTTTAGTGTTCTGACACTTGTTTGTGAGAATATTCTTTTTTTTTTTTTAAATAGGTTGGCAAGAGGTTAAAAAGAACTGACTCATATAAGGCACTGCACAGATAATCTGAGGAACTGACACAGCAATTTCAGTGTTCACTCGCAAAAGTGTCCCCCGTTTGAAAATATATGACCCCAGCTTCCTTTATATTATGCTGATTATTGCTTATCAAGCATATTGCATTTTCCCTCCCAGTATTTTGCACTCTGACCTTGTTGGAGAGGTTCAAAGGTAGCTTGAAGGTCACTGGCGAGCTGTCAAGGGTGTGTGCGTGCCTTGTGACTATCACTGCTATAGATTTTTAGTACATATTAACCTTGTTCCAGTAGTTCAGTTAAACATGGATGCTCCGCCTTTGTGCTGTTGTCCCCACTCTCCCTACTACTCATGTGTAACTTGAGTATGCATGCTCTTTCCCCTCCTGTGCAGCTGCATTCATCATTTTCCCTAGGCTCTGGCCTGGCCTGTATTGAACCATATAGCTGATTGCAGATTCTCACCACTGTAGTGTTTTCCCAAGAGCAAATGTATGAACGTCTAAGCCATATATGGTGTTTTAACCTCTACTAGGGTCAGGGTGAAGATTCATTTAATTTACAGTTATTGCCGTTGTTGGTTGCCGTTTACTCTTTTGTGTTATGCATTGAAACATGCTCCGTTACTGCTGTATATCTTACTAAACAGGTTTTACTTCTGATATGCATCTCTGTGTAGCCATTTTGATTTGTGTGTTTGTCAGCTTGGTTTCTGAAATTTTTGCACACCAAGGAGTCATTGAATAAAAAAAAAAGCAATGCAATGATTTTTTGTGGTGTTTTTGGGACATTAAGAAGTCCTGGAAGCAGCTGAAATTTTACATTTTTCTTGAATAAACTACACAGGGAGATGAGGTTGACATTACTCTCCCTGAATATTACATCAGCAAGAGGACACATTATTTAACATCACAGGCTAATTAGTTTGTTCATATGCAGTCCATACTTACTAGAAGTGTATAAACAGAGTTTTACTCTTACAGTAAGGGTAGGGAGTCGGGACACACCAAACCGACACCAAAGAACTAGCGCTGATGAAAGCCGTGTTGTCGCCTCGATTTGCCTGCGTCGGGGCAAAAAAGCTGCACTTGAACACACAGAGAGAACTACAGCCAACTGCCAATTAGCATGCGTGTTCTGTGCCTGCGTGTTCTGTGCCTGCATGTAAATGAGACAACGGTCTAAATCTGCAGAAATATTAATCTATATTCGTCATTCAAAAAGGGAAACTGACGCTGCAGATACACATACCGGAAAGCCAGCGCTTGCTTACCGTTTTGAATATCAATCCTCCTGAACACTTTCTTTATTCCACTCAGCTAATGTGAAAATATTAAAATATTCGCCCACTCATGTAAAATGACATAAAATTAGAACATCTGTACCATTTTGACGACTTTGCTTGCTGTTTTGCTAATATTCTCATGCATTCACTAAGCTGAACAGCCAATCAAGTTCTCTCTCTCACCGACGGCCCGACGCCAATTCTACATGCTGAATCGGCCCCCCAAAAAAATAGACGACGGTGCGGAACACACCAAAAAACTAATTCGGCCGACTAAAACGGCTTGACGTTGCTCGATGGCCGATCGTTGGCTTGGTGTGTCCATGGCTTAATTTTGTATATTTTGGTGTCAGCCTGCACTGTCTCCTTGTTTTAGCTTTAAAATACCCATCTGGCAGCAGAACGAGCCTTAGTCTAAACTGAGTCTAAACTAAACCAAGCTTACTGTGATACTTTTTTTCAGGATTCTTTGACTAATAGAAAGATTTATTTGAAATAGAAAGCATTATAAATGTCTTTACGGTTACTTTTGATAAATGTATTGCATCGTTGCTGAATAATAATAAGTGTTAAGTTCTTTAAAAACAAATCTTACTGACCCCAAACTTTTGAATGGTAGTATATAAAGTTGCATCATGCAGGAAATTAATTTTAACTTCTGCAGGATGTTTACTGACCTGAACCTCTGAAGCTTGACTTCAAAAACAGGCTAGTAGTGTTTAGATGTTATCAGTTAACTCTAAATTATTTATTCCTCAATTCTCGAAAATAAAAGTACATGTTGGATTTCTGGATGGAAGGAAACATGTCTCTGTTCTGGCCCTGCTTACTTTATGCTTTATATCAGCCATAGTGACACAAACTGTCTTTGTCAATTTGCAGCAAGTCCAGTACTGAGTGGAATGTATGCAGAAAAGAAATATGGGATGTGATTGGCAGGAGTGAAGGTACCCGCATGTAGAGAATAAGTGATGGCACTCTTTCTGGAAAAATGAAGGGGTGGGAATGAGTAAAATACATAAGGGGGAACACAGTGGTAGGGGGTTTGAGGTTGAAGATTGTTTTTGTATGACTAAAATGTGCTGGTATGTTAACGACATGGAAATAAAAGCATATGGGTTGGCACATAGACTTAAATGAAGAACGCACAGAAAGATAAGCTGCAAACATATGGTAATGGAAAAGCTGAGGTAAGAGTTGGAATGATAAGATTTGGCGAGAGAGAACGAGAAGGGAATTCCTTCCAATCAGTCATGTTGCACTAAAAACATTACTGCCAGATCACTAGGCCCAATGGTGAAATGTCTGATTGTTTCAAGTATCTATCCTTTTTTAAAAATGTTTGATCCTCTTCTCTCAGGTTTATATGTGCTCAGATGCCAAATGCAGTGCTGGACAGCATCAGCATCATAGACACTCCTGGAATTCTGTCCGGAGAGAAACAGCGGATTAGCAGAGGTATGTGTTTTTTATTTTTTATTTCCTCTTTCTATAATTGTCGTCTTCACTTCTTTTTACCATAACCTGACTTTCCTTCCCAGAGTTACCACAACTTCATACTCTTTGTCCTATTAATACAAGTGCCATTTGCATAGACAGCTGTGAGTGTGTAACATATGTCCCAAGCAAAGGAAGGGAGGTTAATTTAGTTAGCTTCTGCATTATGGGAGTGTTAAGAGGGAAGTATTTTTAGTTCTCCTGTTTACATTACAGCACAACAAACCCACTCTTCTTCCAAAGGTTTTTTTTTCCTGTAGGAAGGAAGGGAAGTTGAAAACCTAATTATTCTATAGTGACAATGTGGACTGTCCTTTCCCATCAAACACTATGATTTGGCAAGAACAATGGCTTTTCTAAGCCCTCCCTGAAAACAAAAATGATACAAAACTGTCTAAAATGTCCAAATAGCCCTTAGGCAGTGTGTTTGGTGGTTAATTGTCCTTAAGCAGCACAGGAGATAAGGTACAGGATTTTTTTTTTTGCTTCCCTAGAAGTATAATTGACTAGTCTGGACCTGTTACAGGCTCAGAAATGACAATGGAGCATGTTGGTATTGTTTATTCAAGAAAACTTTAAGAGAGCATTGTGTGTGGTGGTAACCGGTGTCACTTTGAGACTCTTCCTGTGCTTGTCTATCTGCCGTGGCGCGTGTGTGCGTGCGGGTGGGCCTCTCCTTGGCTTTCCCTGAAGACCATGTAAATGTGATCAGAGGGTGAGTGGCATCTACAGATAACAGTCTGACAAAGAGGGGCGACAGCTCAGGCCAGGAAACAGACATTACCGCGGAACAGAGAGGGTGTGGTAAGGACGTACAAATGAGCGGACTGCTTGAATGCATCCTTGTTCAAAGATTCAGTTATGTGTTATTGAGCATGTATAATGTATGTGTGTGTGAGTAGATTTACGCCGGGATGGCTTTCCTGCTGTCGGCACCAGACAGACAAGAGTCAGTCACAAAAAATTGGATATGTTTATAGTAATAACATATTTTGTGGGCATGGTAAAAATGGTACCAAGGTTTTTTTCAATGTATACCTACAGACTAAGGATGTGCCCCAAGCCGAATACCTAAAGCCGAATTTCAGAATTATTCGGAAAGAAACTGATAAATGAATAACACATTCTACGGCACCCCTAAAGGGACATGGTGATGAAAAAATGCAGGAGATGAGAGGGAAAAAAAACACGCAAAAGCTTTTTAGGGGAACGCAAATGTTTGGCGCAAAAGCATTAAACTATAATTTCTCCTCTCGTATAATTTTTTTTCATCACCATGTCCCTTTAGGGGCTCTGTAGAATACGTTATTCATTATCCATGCCTCTCCGAATAAGATATGGCTTCAGGCACATCCCTTCTACAGACTGCTATTTTCTTTTTTATACGATGGCACTTCTATGTTTTGTTGTGTTTAAAACGAAACCACGCTAACATCATGTTTGTATATAAATAATACTGAAATAACACTGTTTTGGGCTTGTAGCATCTACATTTTTTTATGGTTTATGGTTTAAAGATTTTAAGATACCACCAAACCATGGTAATATCATGTTTTTTGGACACGTGTACCATGGTATTCTTTGAGTATCTTGGTGTACCATATTAAATACCATGGTACATGATGAATATGATAATCATTTACTACCATGGTATGGATCATTGTACAATGGTAGAGACACAATATGTTTTTGTATTGGGGGATGATCTGGTGGTGGTATACATATAAGAGAATTGCCTGTGAGCTCCATGAGAGAGTACAGACATGAGTGGATGACAATAACCAGGTGTTCATGAACACTCTTGCATTCCACACCGTACAGCTTTATCTCACGTTATTTAGGTTTACTTTCAAATGGGCCGCACCCTATGGTCTCTGATAAGCAACCAAACCCCCCCCCGAGCTTGGCAGTGCCTGGGCGGATGTAAAAACATCATTAGTGTATGGGAAAAGTATTTCCAGGCTGATACATGGTTGTATAAGCTTGTGTGAGATCATAGTATGCATCCCATGTGCTGCACTCTGAACTTATCCCAGTGATTTTCACACATGGTTTTATTCTCAAGGTCTTCAGCTCATTAAAAAGAGCAAGAGAGGTGACGGCTCTCCATCAGGGGCCAGGGTTACTTTCTCTTTGCTGTCCTTTGCTCTTCCTCCTCTGAGGCAGAATGAGAGCCATAAAGATTGATAGTGATGATGGTGAAGGCATGACGACTGAGAGAATTCAGACTCCGGAGACAGGACACAGCGAAGGGTCACCTGATTCTATTGAATTAGATTGGCATGAAATGAGGAGATTTTGAATAAAATGAAGGATTTTGAGATGTCCATTAGTGCTTATGCGTGATATGTGAAATTACATCTTGGAAACATTTGATCAAATTAAATCAATAATTATTGAAATTGTTTGGTTATGAATGTTACTAAAAAAATTATATATTAGGATAATAGGCAGCAAGTGGACATTTTGTCCTTAAAGTTGATGTGTTAGAAGCACATGGCTAGAAGACTGGGTTAGAGCATCACCAAAACTGCAGCTCTTGTGAGGTGTTCCCGGTCTGCAGTGGTCAGTCAGTATCTATCAAAAGCCTGATGAGTTTGGAGAACACCTGAGAAGAGATCAGAGACCATTCCTCCATACAGAATCTCTCCAGATCCTTCAGATTCACAGATCCATGTTGGCGCTTCTTCTCTTCAGTTCAACCCACTCATTTTCTGTAGGGTTCAGGTCTGGGGACTGGGATGGTCATGGCAGCAGCTTCATTTTGTTCTCCGTGACACATTTGTGATGATTTTGATGTTTCTTTTGGATTGTTGTCCTGATGGAAGATCCAACCACTGCCCATTATAAGATTTCTAGCAGAGCATGGGGTACTCTTTATCCCTGTTTGCTGCCAAAAAGCTTTTTTTTTTTTTTTTTTTTTAGTTTCACCTGACCATAGAATCCGGTCCCTTTTGAAGTTCCAGTTGTCTGATGACTGAATATTCTGGAGTTTTCTTGAAACCCTCCCAAACAACTTGTGGTGATGTAGGTGCTGTTTGATAATAAAAAAAAGTAGGCTTTCTGACCCCAAGACTTAAGTAATCTCTGCATTTTTTAGCTGTGATCCTTGGAGAGTCTTTGGCCACTTAAACTTTCCTCCTCACCGTACATTAGGACGGTATAGACTCATGTCCTCTTCCAGGCAGATTTGTAACTTCTTTAGTTGATTGGAACTTCTTAACTATTATCCTGATAGTGGAAATGGGAATTTTTCAATGCTTTAGCTATTTTCTTACAGCCACTTTTGTGATAAAACTAATATTATAACAATTGTTTATTTTCCCCTGAAAGCTATTCACAGAGCTTGTGATGCGTATGGAAAGTCCGTCTCTTCACAAAATGCATTTATTTAAAGATTCTGTCTCTATTGTGTTCAAAGCTTCCTCTTTACTGATGTTACAGTAATTGAATGCAAGTGGGGGGAAATGTATAAGGAAAGCCCTGGTAGTGTCATTATCTAAACATGGAAAATGTTAGTATTTTGGCTCTTATTTCAAGTCCTACATAGGCAGAATTGACAACAAAACAGACAATGATTCACACTTAAAGTGCTAGTCATTGCCTTGTCATAGATCGTAATGTGGCTTGTAGCCAGGTATAGTCTGAGGTCAAGTGGATGTCATGTGTGAATACAATACCCTAACAGCAATAAGTTTAGGAGGAAATCTGGGCCTGTCTGAGAATAATGGGATGATCAGTTTTGTAACTGATCTGAAAAACATGGATATTCAGGAATGACAACTATTTGGACATCTAGCCACAGTCATGCTGTTCTTTGGAAGAGGATGAGTGTGCTTGCTATTTTAATGCAGTCCTTTTCTCTCTCTCCGCATTTCATAAAAAAAAAAAAAAAAATCTTATCTCCTCCCACTTCATTCTTCACAGCAATGCGGTCTCCATATTGTGGTTCTGAACTCCTGTGCTGACTTTATAGAAGAATAGATCAGTGAGGACTGCTTATAATAGTTTTGATAGTATGCCATGTTTTAACTTTCAACCTTAAACCCTAAAAATGTCCTGCTCATTCGTAGACCTTTTGAGGTCAGTTAATAATCTTCTGAAGTCTGCTGACTTCACATCTGTCCCCCTTCACCCTGACCGCAGTTAGACTTTACACGCAGTTAACGACAAGGCACTTCAAAATTATGTAATTATATTATATATATAATATGATATACATACTGTTTCAAGCATACTGAGCTATTCCCAACCAAATATTTTTCCGATCCTATATCTTAACAAGAGATGGCTGTAGTATTATAAATAGGGCTGCAAGATATTGGAAAAAACTGATATTGTGATAATTTGTTTTTCTGCGATATGAAAACAATTTCACCTTGTGATTTGAATAGCTCTATTTGTAAAGAATTAATGAATCTAGGATGATTGGTGTATTGGTAAATTGGTAGAAAATAATAAACAAATTACAAGCATAGATGAATACAATAGAACAAAGACAGAATAAGCAGTGCTTTTGTTTTTCAGGTAAATTAACAGTACAGACATTGAATAATCAAATGTAAAATAACACTGTATAGTCTTTACCAGGGTTCCAGACTGCGACCATTTTTTGAGAATGTGCGAGTTAAAATTTTATTTTTATTTTACTGCATCCGTTCCAGGAGCGGTGCGTAGCAGTCATAGACTGTAAAAAAAAAGGTTTACACACCGAGTCTATTTTTGCTGTGCTGCACGCGCTGAATTAAAGTGACAGCGCATAGTTCGTGGTCACAAATTGACATGACAATGAATTTCATCATAAATGCATTTAATTAAATACTACTATTTTTCACAGTCATCTTTTTACTTTTAACTTTTTAATAGTTTTTTGGAGAATATTTTGATTTGATAGTTAAAAGATTAAAACATTTTGCTAACATGAGGTCTTGTGTCACTGTCAGTCTTTTTACATCAGTGCAAAACTATGGTATGCAGATTAAGACCACTATTCATCAACATGCATTGATTAATCCCATGGCATGTAAAAAAAAAAAAAGGTGCGACCAAATCATATGCTGGTGCGACCAACTGAGACCAGTGCAACCAGTGGAAAAGTTAGTCTGGAGCCCTGTTTACTGTATAAATTAAATGTATATAATTAATACAGCTTATCTTTGTTAAAGCTACTAAAGGAATTTTCTCTTTCTCTGTTTGTCACACCAAATTAATCAAACAACAAAACACAAAAGTTGCGGGTATATTGGACTGCTGTCACTTTAAGACGAATGCACATATCCAATACCGGTAATTAATTACCATTACTGACTGCGTTTACGAGGAACCTTGTCGATATGGGCATTTTGACTTAATTTTCTGTGCACATTTCCGTTCAAGCACAAATCGATAAGGAAGGGAATTCTGTGTTCACGAACTTCACGTGCTGTCTTGCGTGGCTCTGTGTGCGCACACAAAACAGCGCTCTTGATGTTTAAACTGACAGGACTTAAAAACACATGCAAATGATACTCTATGATGGTTAAACTTTGCAATTAATCTGCGAATCACATGAGTTCTGAACCAGGGGACAGCTGGCCCATACGGATCACGGATCAATTACGGACCCTGTACTACATTGCACATCCTCCGATTTGACTATTGCGGATGCGCACATCGTGATATCGATGCTAAAACGATACATCATGCAGCCCTAATTATATCAATTAGTGTTTGTGATTGTGGAAAACAGAGTTCTTATTCATATAAGATTAAAATTTATATTTCAAATAAGTCAAAATATAAAATAATTTTTAGCTTTTTTTATTTTAAATTTGGTGAATATAGAATCAAATTCCATTGTGATCCCTTTGTGTGTGCACTTTATTAATTTGGTTTATTTCCTAAATGTTGCTCTGTGTCCTTGTCTTAAACTGTATAGTGTTCCACAGGGCTCTATTCTAGTACCTCTCCTGTTTACTGTACACAGTGCCCACATTAATTCTTCAGTGCTTAGTAGGCTTTGCTGCGTGTCAATTTTTATCACTGATAGCATCCCATAATGCTCTACTCAATATACTTATTAAAGCACTTTTTTCAGTGGGCTAGATTTAGTGGCTGTGCAGTTTTCAGGGCAAGCATTATGCCTTTTATCACAATTCCATGTTGCCATCTTCTGTGTAAATCAATGCCTTTTATTATGAATAGTGTACATAAATGATAATTCTAATGACTTATTTCCAGCTTGGAGAAACTGATCCCCTGAGAATGTGCTATTGTTTATGTAGATCATTACAGCAGATTTCTCCATTCTTCCTCTCCCTGTGCTTTCCAGGAATTTGTGGAGGTGCCACATTTACATGTGCTGGTACTGGAAAAGGATCATTTCCTTCCATGCACAGATGAATGCTCACAACTTTTTCAGGCCCCCTTCCATAATTCTCACATGTATGCTGCTGCTGATATAATATAATAGCAGAATTATTACTATGAAATAAATTGTTTAATTCAGTTTCCAAAGACTGAATGGTATGTAACATGGTTAATCAGTGGGTTCAAAAACTATTTATTTGTCAAATACAAGATGTGTGTTGGATTAATAGTTGATAGACTAGAGTAATGATGCTAAAAATTCCGCTTTGCCATCACAGGAATAAATTACATTTTAAAATATTATTAGAATTTTTAAAAAACATTATGTTTGTTATCTGTTTTAATATATTTCATAATATTATTTTTTTACTGTATTTTTGATCAAATGCAGCCTTGGTGAACATGAGACTTGACTTTTCAAAACCATTAAAACAATCTTACTGACCTTGTATGTATTCTCCAACATTTCTCCCCTCTGATATTATGGCACCACCAGTGCAGTTATCCTGTCGAGTCTGGAGTCTACTGTCAAATGTATGATGGTATTACAAAGAGAGAATTTTGAGGGCTGTTTTTTTTTTTTTATTAATGAAAGTTAAGATTAAACTATAGATAATGTCCATGTCAGAGCTGTAAGGAAATAGACATGGTTAAAAATAAGCAGACAAAAGCAATATAGCCACCACAATCCTAAACATTTTATAGTTTGTAGCTATTCATCTGGTCTGAATCAGTTCCAGTCGACACCTGTTAAGCAACATTCACAACTGTTTCAGAAACAGCTGCTGCTTAATATGTTATGAGCAAACCTTTTTGCAGAGATGCTGCAGGACAAGGGCTCCCATTACTAAACACTAAAACCTCCCAGTTATTTATTGACATTCGCATTAGGTATTATATATTGTTTCTAGGGTCTCAAGGTACAAAAACCAGAGGTTAACCTTTACTGAGAGCTTGTTAAATGACATCTATGCATGCTTTAATATCTTGTTTTATCAGTGTTTTTGTAATGTTTTTTTTTATTCAGGCAGAGAGATTGTGGGTCAATCTGGATTAGATTTTAGCAGGGTGGAGGCAATACTAAAATCTAAATGACAGCCATCTATACTGAGCCAAATTTCTTTTTTCATTTTTTTTCCCTTTACGGAAATTAAGTCCAACCTTCAGACCAGCATGAACCAAATGCCTATTTATGGTGGTTGGATCTTTGTGTTGGTTGTAAACTTTAAGTCCCAGCCCTGTATTCACTGTACATAATATGCACAAAACCATCATCTTTATAGATGGCTGGTGTAATTTATTTTCCAAACTGCTATATTTGCTTATCTGCATAGTTTCCAGTCCACTGTCATTCATTTAGGTCATTCATTCGTCTGTGCATTTGTTGTTAATTCATTCATTTGCTTTTGTTTGTTCATGAATTGATTGAATCATTTAATGATGTAAATGTATGTTTGTAACCGTAACTGCATCAGCAAGAGGATTAAATTAGTCTTGATAAAATTGTCTTGCTATTTGCAATGTTGTAATTTCAATTTCTTTTATTAAGTGCAGCTTTTGTGTGCCCACTTTTACAGATTTTAGTGCAGGAACAAACACAGTTACTATGGCATTCTTACATAAACAAGGATATCCCATAGTTTACACAAGGATATGTTTTTGGAAAGTATTAGAAGGAAAGCAAGCAAAGAATTGGAAAAAGCCATACCATTAGGGGAAAACAGAGTAAAAATTCCATCCATATGAGCTACCTCTGCTGTCACAGTCTTTACCAGCCATATTAATGTGTATATACACAACCAGCTTATCAGTGTCTGCTCTGAATGTAGAAAGAAACTCCTTGAGGAAATGGATCCTATTCAGAAAGAATGCTGATTTAGATGCATAAAAAAGCCTTTAAGCCTTGTATTGCTAATCTACCCACAGTAAATTCATAACTGCTGGCAAAAAGAACAATAGTTTTTTTTTTAAAATCACATTATTTACTAAGTGTACCAAATTACTGCATTTCTGGTTCACACACAAATTCAATTAAGGTCTTAACAGTTTTTTTGTTTTGTTTTTTTGCATTGTGCATTTGCTTTTTTTTATTATTGTCTTTGCATTTTATTGTATTGCATTGTATATCATAACGGCCTGTTTCATTAGTATTGCTATGAATATTGTAATGGATAACTGTCAATAAAGCAGAGTAGTGTATCCGTGAAGTCACGCCCATGTTGGATTCAGATCCAGATTTCACATCCTGCTGACGTTGACAACTGTTGTGAGCTGGGACGCAGACTTTCCTGTCTTCCACACACTCTACACAATCCAAACATAAATTGGTAACTTCTGTCTGAGTAAGCAGGAGAGTTGGGTTGGAAATTCCTTAGCTTTAGCATGTGTATTATGGCATATAGAGAAATCTCTGAAGATTAAACCCTCAAGATCTCATAAGTAGCTTTTTGGAAAGATCGCCGAATTTGTCTAGCAATATTAATGCTGACCCTTGTTGAAAAATGTGAATGCAAAAGACTTTTTTTTTTAGACATTTTCTCTTAGGTATTTTGGAGTACACAGACTTTTCCCATTACCACACATTCGTTTCATATCCCAGCATCTTAAATTTAGTTTTGACACATCGTCATCTCCTTGGCTACTGTCAAAATATTTTACTCCGATTTCCATTGTTCCCTGTGATCCTTTTAACCATACAAGAAAATAACCAAACATGGGGAGAGGAAGGAGTTTCTGTGGGACAATTTATTCTCTTTCCTGTTTGCCAGCGTGAGTGGACGTGATGTTAGTTCGCTGTAGTTGACCAGACGTCTCATCTGTTTTTTTCCCCCCTCATGTTTAAGGGCAGCTGTACTCCACCCTAATGAGCCAGTAGTGGTGTAGTGCAAAATAAAAGGACTGGATAAAAGGAGATGGGTTCTATTACGTAAAGACTTTCCTTTGACAGCAAAACTCACACATTTTGTATTGTGTGAGTTTACCTGTTAATAGATTTCTGCTTGTTCGTGTTGGTGTTGAGTGATATGAGCAAGATCAGGAAGTTCTAGGGTCAAATATCTGCTGACTGATGTACTGCCCTTTATCTGGATGGAAAGAGAAGTGTTTGGTTGTGCTTTATAAAGAAAGCTCACATAAACAAAAACAAGTTCCCTTTGCATTGAATAAACTGAATGACTATTTATTAAGTGGATTAACTGTTTTTTTTTCTTGTTTGTTAAAAAGCCTTGTCTTGTATTAAAAATGTCATATCCTTATCTCTGTTTCAGGTTATGACTTTGCTGCTGTGCTCGAATGGTTTGCTGAACGTGTGGACCGCATCATTCTTCTCTTTGATGCACACAAGTTAGATATCTCAGACGAGTTCTCTGAGGTGATCCGAGCTCTGAAAAACCACGAGGACAAGATGCGGGTGGTGCTCAACAAAGCTGATCAGATCGGGACCCAGCAGCTCATGAGGGTCTATGGCGCCCTCATGTGGTCTCTCGGTAAAATCGTCAACACCCCAGAGGTCATCCGAGTGTACATTGGTTCTTTCTGGGCTCAGCCTCTCCTGGTTCCAGATAACAGGAAACTGTTTGAGGCAGAGGAACAAGACCTTTTCCGTGACATCCAGGGGCTTCCACGTAATGCAGCGTTGCGCAAGCTGAACGACCTCATCAAACGGGCACGTCTTGCCAAAGTAAGAAATTAAACCTTTTATAGTTAGGTATAATGTAGAGATGTCTTTTTGACACATTTTAGTTTTAAAGTTCTTTGAATGTTTTTGTTTAGATTAGTAACCTGGTGTGTGCTGCCCTCATGTGATCACTTTATAAATTGGTCACCTAAGATGTGATCCAAGTTTATAGTCTTCCTTTTATACATTTCTTTTTTAAAGGGGTCCTATTTTGCTTTTATACATTTTCAACTTTCTTTAGTGCGTAATGTTGCTGAAAGTTACAAAGCACCAAGTCCCCTCCAAAGAGATTTAATCTCTATATCAGTAAGCATTGTTTCTGAACTCCCTGAAACGCTGTCTTAAGTTTTCTTCTGGGAACGTATACATCACAATATTACTAATTTAAATAATTCCCACCTAAGGTATACGCAATAAAGGGTGGCGAGGCCTGCTTGAGTAGCGTAGTGTGTTGAAACTCGCTGTTATGGTAAGGGGTGTGAAATTTCCGAAACACTCAGGAAGCGGTTGACCAATCACAACACACTGGTCGAGGCGACCAACCAGAGCACATTGTGCTCTTCGGAAAGAGGAGCTTCATAGAGACAGGAAGTTAACAGTGTTCCAGACAGACTGGGAAGAGTGGCGCTGCAATAATTTAAAATGTGCAAAAAACCCCCAAATATTTTTAAGAAAAAGCAGTTTTCTTTTTAAATATATTTTTTATATATATATATATATAATAATGTATATATAATAATGTAATTTATTCCTGTGATGACACAGCTGAATGTTTAGCAGCCATTACTTCAGTCTTCAGTATCACATGTATGCCGATTTGGTACTAAAGAAACATTTCTCGTTATTATCAATGTTGAAAACAGTTTTTGCTGTTTTGTTGTTGTTTTATCAATCGTTTCCACAAAAATATTAAGCAACACAAGTTTCATTGATTATATTTTTTTTTAGCCCCAAATCAGCATAATGATTTCTGACATAATGATTTGTAACACTGAAGACTGGAGAAATTACGATGAAAATTCAGTTTTTGCCACCAATGCAATATAAATTTAACATATATTATTACAATTTAAAAATAACTTTTCTATTTTAATAGCCTATATCAGTATGTATGTATTCATTATTATCATACATTTTCTTATATCATTCAAGTCTCTCTCAAATTGACAAATTGCTAATATATAAATTGCTTAAATATCAATATAACACAGATTTATTTTAAATATTATATGTTATGACAAAATGTTTTCTCTCCAGGTTCAAGCCTACATCATCAGTGCTTTGAAGAAAGAAATGCCAAATGTTTTTGGGAAAGAGAATAAGAAAAAGGAACTCATTGCTAACCTGGGTGAAATCTACACAAAGATTGAAAAGGAACATCAGATCTCCCCTGGTGATTTCCCTAAACTCAGTAAAATGCAGGTATGGAAATGGTCCCATCTGTCCCAATATATATATATATATATATATTTTTTTTTTTTGTTTAGCCAAAGATTTTAAGAGTAATAAAAGTTTGTTTTATTTTTAGTTACTAGATCCAAAGTTCCAAAAAATATTATCTCATCCTCTAAGGGTAGAATATGCTTCTTCTTTTTTTTTTACATCTTTGTTGTCCTCGTCATTAGGAAGTCCTTGCTGGTCAGGACTTCACTAAGTTTCAGGGATTGAAGCCCAAGTTGCTGGAAGCAGTAGAGGACATGCTGGCCAACGACATTGCCAAACTCATGACCCTCGTTCGGCAGGAGGAGGCTGCCATGCCCAGCCAGTCTGTCCAGGGTGGTGCCTTTGAGGGCACCATGAATGGACCCTTCGGGCATGGCTATGGAGAGGGTGCTAGCGAAGGCATTGATGAGCTGGAGTGGATAGTGGCGAAAGACAAGCCAACTTACGACGAGATCTTCTACACCCTGTCACCTGTCAACGGGAAGGTCTCTGGTGCCATGGCCAAGAAAGAGATGGTCAAATCCAAACTGCCCAACAACGTTCTAGGAAAAATCTGGAAGCTCGCTGATGTGGATAAGGATGGGTACCTGGATGATGAGGAGTTTGCCCTAGCTAACCACCTCATCAAGGTTAAACTGGAAGGTCACGAGTTACCTGCTGATCTTCCTGATCACCTTGTGCCTCCTTCTAAACGAGGACTGTAAACAATTTGGGAAAATAAATGTTATCTTTGAGCCAAACTTTGTAGAGGTTATGGATATGGGTGAAAGGGTGGGTCTAGAAATATGAAAATATATAAACAGAATTTATGATATAATTATACAGTATGCATTAGCTGCGGAAAAGAGCCAAAATAGCTTTTAACTTATCTATCACTACAGTTTGTCATTCTCACTAATATTATCTTCTTTGTTCTTGATAGACTGGTAGTTAGGAACCTAATCAAAACTTTAAAAATATAAATAAATTAGATGGCATCCTGTTATCGTATTTCTCAAATGTTAGATGTAGCTAAATTCTATTTAAGCATGTACAATGGCAGGGAGAGGAGTCCAATGGGACCAAAATATAGGCTAATATTACAAATCTTTTAGAGGCATTTACCAGATCTTTACACTGATGCTGCTTCATACTTAGTCATGCAAGGAGAAATGGTTCTTTTTCATTCTTACACTCCATTAACTTTGCTGATGGTTTCAGGCTATTCAGATTTATCCTTTGAAACTTTCAGTTAAACAATTTTGTAGTTTTGTCCAGTTTTGGTTTTACAATTTGGACTCCCCAATTTGACCATTTTTAGCACTATAAAACACCGCAAAAAAAACAGTGCTGCATTTTTGTATTGTATGTTAACTGGTGTTGGATCATCAATCGTGATGGTTCAAAACAGATTGTCTCTGACAAGACATTCAACAGAAAGAGACTCTGTGAATCTGTGTCAGTTATATAAGTAGCACCATTGCATTGGCCTCTTTCTGTTCTTGAGTGCCTCACCCTGCTTCAATATCAAAAGCTTTTATACACTATAAATACTGTTCATATGTAAATTTTTTTGTCTAGTTTGCAATAATAAAAATCTACCACAAGCCTGCCTGCCTTCTCTTATTTTTCTATACAGAGTATTTGAGGAAGTTATTAATATATATATTTTTAAAATAAATAAAAGTCCTCATAAAAGGATTGTAAATTGAGATAAATTCTAAAACTATGAGCAATACATGTCCTGAATAGCCTACTGGGTACTCTGTCTTTATGTACTCATGTGCTTATACAAAGTGTGTGAATGGTTACGATACCAGGGGCCGAAGTCACAATACATTTTATGGCCAAAAGTAGCTCTTAACTTGGCGATTTGGGAGAAACTAAAAAAATAATGGCTGTGTCAGTCCTAATTTATTTCTCTCTTGGGAGTATTTCACAAAACATTTTAGTGCTAAAGCCAGCTCCTAAATCTGTGAAAAATATGGCAACATTTTTATTTTAAAATCTTGATTTGAATATGGCAATATGATACCTCGTTCTACTTCTATGATTAAATCACTGAATGAGACCCCTCCCCATCAGCCAATCACTATGTGTATGGTTAGTAAGCGTGTTAGCATCATCCATAGCAATGTGGTCAACCCCGCCTTAACTCTTAGTTTATCTATTCCTTAGTAAAAGTTGGTCTCAGCAGCTTTGTGAATGGGTTTTAAGAGGAAAGTCTTACCTAAGAACTTTTACTGCTATTTAGGAGAACTCTTGGTGGTAACTGGTAAGATAAAATGTTTTGTGAATACGGCCCCAAATGCCCCTATGAAAAGCTAAACTGGGGCTGTGTCAGATCTAGTCCTGTGAAGGGGGAACCTAATGTTTTTAGCTGAAAAGTAGAAGAAAATATCAAAACAAACAATTCAAAATTTCAAATGCTAGGGGGTTTGCATATGCAAATGTTCACATGCATATGTGAACATTTTCAACAAGGCATAAGCCTACATCTTTTTAAGCAGAAGGCCATAAGGGCGGATTGAACTCTCCACTATTTTTTTCTCATCTTCAACTGATGTGCCTTCAGGGATAGGGACCAACCAAATGTCCTTGGTCTTTTTTTCTCGAATCTGGGGGTTGATTCGGTTCTGCATGATAATATTATAAGAATACTTAAACAGTGTGCTTGTAAAATTTGAATAGCTTTTTGTTTCTTCGAGGGGCAATATGGACTCAATATAATGCTTCACTTCAATTTTAAATACTATAAAACAAGTTTTTTCCCCCAGAAAATGTACATTTGTTAATTAAAATAATCAATTAAAAAATAAAATAAGTGCTGGTTGGTTTATCTTTGGAGTTAACAATAATACCTAAAAGAACGTATTTCCACTGTAAGGTAAAACTTTCATCAACATTTTCAACAAAATCAAGAAGCCTACATTTTGACAAAAGAAAAAGAAATGAAAAGGGCAGTGACAAAATAAATGAACATCTGTCTCTGGCTTCTGCTTGAAGAAGCCAGACTTTTCCCCAGTCAACACATCACTTACAAACTGACTCCAATATGCAATTACATTTGATTTCGAAACAACATCCTTCTGAAAAAGGGCTAGATTGATCTGTTATAATTATTACAACGACGACGACAGGAGAAACATCTTTTGCCAACAAGGGAGTGATTTGGTGAGAGGGGTGGGAGTTGCTGGTAATTTAAATATTTTTTGCTGTTAGAACAACATATTGTAGAAGAAATTGCACCAAACACAGCTGCGAATTCACTTGGTGGTATGGGAATTAAGTATTCAACATGCGGGAAATTCTGTCGCTTTTGGAGCATGTGTACGCAAGAGGGCGTGAAAACTCTCCGGCTGATACCTCCGGAAATCACGTGTGCAGATTCCAGCCACAATCCACCTGCGCGAGCGAGCTGAGCTAGTGGACTATTGATGCTGCGCGAGACTGGCGAAAGAAGAGTGAACACGAAACAGTTCAAGTCGGGGAGAAAAGTTGTTTTTATACTTACACATATTACTAAATTGTGACTTAAAATCAGAAGAATGGATCTGAGCACGACCTGCCTCTGTTTAATCTATGGAATTCTTCTCGCAGGTAAGTTTTATTTTTATTTATTTTTTGTCCGGAAGGCTGCGGACTAGTTAGCTCGCGGGCTACCTTCCCTCAAAAGTTTTTTTTTATACTTTATTTCGTTTTCTTACACCTTTTAGTTTTTTGTTATATATTGTTTTAGAGTTTTATAGTGTTACCGTTTCTGTATAAGTTACAGCTGTAAACCAAATTGGTCAATGTAGTAGCCTACTGACCAGCGTAAGCGAAGTTAAACGGTGTTCAGTTGAAGAAAAAACGGCCACTAACGTTAACGTTAGTTTCAAAGTCTAATGGCAGGTTGTTGTTTTTTTAAATCTGACCTCGGCGATATTTAGACACCAATAATTTATCAGCTGATAAAGAAAATTTGTTATTAATAAATGAAATTCATTTTTTATTATTTTACAATAATTTATTAAATAATAAATGTTTCGTGTATAAGGGACAATAGGAAAACACAATTTATAGTCTACATTAAATATAATCCTGCTAAAAGCATATATACACGTCCCGAATTGAAGTAACGGGTAATACGTGTTATTAAAGCCTACTGTACATTTGGAGAGTTAAGTTTGTTTTTATTTTCATTGTCGATTTAACGACGCCTTGATACCAACAATCCCAGTCCGCGCAAAGCTGTTAATTTAGCGGTTTATTTCCATTATCTGTATGAAGTCTTATCTTATGCTGCTGCTGTAGCAGATATGCGTCATTTCATTTCCATGTTTTCAAGCTTAGGTGGAATTATGCATTTTCCAGAATACATTTCTTGAATATTGTTGTTAGTTAGCAGTTTACACAATAGGCTTAACCGTCTTAAAGCCATCAAGAGGGGCTTCTTTCAGACTGCCATCTGCCAATGCAAGCTCCACGTGTACCCCCCTTTTCAGGAAGACTCCTCGAGATGTCTGAAACTGAGGTTGCTCATTATCCAGTCTACATACAAGACCTGATATTGATTGATCCCTTGGCTTAGAATGCAAACAGTCACACTAGGTTTGGCAGTGGACTTGTCTCCAGTTCACATTGATTTTCTGTGAATTGCACATGCTGTCTTCTATTGGGCACTTCTGGTTGTTGGCTGACTAGCTGGTGGTTCATGAGAGGAAGGGAATGAGGTAACACAAGCATGAACATTAACACTCCTCTGCTTATTTCTCATTTGAGTAACATCTGGAACTGCTTGTGGAGTTGTGGTAAAAGGTTATCTGTGTTCTTTAGACAGAGATTCAGGTTGCATAGCATACAAACCAGCACAAGGAAAAAAATAAAGTGAGAAAGAATGGCATGGATAGGGCAATGACTTACCTGGTTATTGATAAACTAGAATCTAACAATAACGCACACACTGCTTTTGGTTTAGCCTAATGCATATGTGGAATGTGTGCAAGCTTGCTCGTGGTATTTATCTGAGCTATTTCCCATTACTGTGGGATACATTCAGGTATGTTTTTGTTGGCTTGCCTTGTGGGTGACATTTATTCCTTCATGGTGTTGTTAACTTGTCAAACTCATTACCGTCACAACAGAATTTTGAGTCTGACATTTGTGTGCTCTGTGTCCTTCTCCGCAGACAGGGATATTGTTTTAGGTGCTGGCTACAAGGATATTTCTCATTTGTGTTGTCATTCTGTCACAATACTGATTATTCATAAAGTGAAATAAGGTGTGTGAAGACATGGCCTTTTCACCGGTGTAATATTGCATAATGTCATTTGTTATAAATAAATAGATATGAGACTTCTGTCAATGATCTTTCATGAATATTATGTGCACACATTTCAAAGGGTTTTTACAGTAACTTCTTGGCAACACAGTAAGAAAGAATCAGTTATTTACTGTAAAGAGAATTTGCAGTATTATTCTAGGTGATGTATAGTGGTAGGCTACATAACTGTAATTCTAACAGTGTGGATTGGCCAGTCATTTGTATTTTCACCATCCTTGAGCGATTTTAGCTTTTTTTTATCTCTTATATTCTACATAAACACTGCAAAAGTTCTAAATTATTGTTCTGTTTGCGGACAGAATGCAGGAGTCTCTCCTGAATTTGGAGTGGTTGACATGGCGATACTCAGCAAAGTTAGGAGACTCATGGCTGTAAACAATGTAATAAATGTAGTATGCCAGTGGTTTAACCTGTTTGATGTTTTGTTTTATCTAAGTAATATTAGTAACCAGAAATGTGTTAGTGTAGAAGACCAATTTGTTTTCTTTTATATTGAGTGCAAAAGTCAGATTCTGGAAGCTTTTTTTTGTTTTCCTATAAAGGAATTTATTTTTAACAATAACTTGTAGTGAGCTACAAGGTTGTTAATCAGTGCTATATTTTGTTAAAGTTGTCAGTCTGCATTATTTTAACATAATCATGTTTAACAATGGA